AAATAAATTTAAAAAAAATTTTTAAAGCAGCATCTTCTGCACTTCGCCAAATACCCTCCTTCATCTTTATTTTACCTTCCACTTTCTTATGCTTGAATTTGGTAATCCTTCTTAATTTTGTGGGCAGCAGACATGGCATAAATTCAAAATAGACTAAGTACTTCACTGTTTTACCCAGAATTGGCCTTGGTGGTTTTATTCTTGAAAGAATAAGAAATAATAACGCAGAAAAAAAGCTGCAACTGTTGACTTTCCCATACTGCTATGGTTTGTTCCAGAAAAAAGGTTTCTGAGAACCAGAAAGGAGTCTGTCCTCTTCCTCTTCTCACCAGCCAGGGTGCTGACACCAACATCTGTGTCATCACAAGAAAGGGGGAGCCACACATCGATGCAATGGGATATCTGTATCAAAATCTAGCTGAGCTCCTCCCTCTGCTTTTTTGCCTCTTCTGAGATGAATCCCACACTAGTAAAAGCCACATTACAGCGTTGCCACACACAGAATTCTATGGGTGAAGTTCTCAAGACCAAATATCCAACTCCAAAGTCCTATGCCTGAGCATGAGGAAGTGCATTAGAGGGGACAAGTTGTACTGCAACATCTCCTCCACAGCAACAGAGTTGCATCAAACAAGATGATGGGTGTTGCAAGGAGACCACAAACTGTCTGCCATCATGCCAAGTACCACAGAACCTCATGATACCTCTTCTAAGTAACTGAAATCCCCAAAACATTCTGCAAGCAAGAGACAGACATGGATAGGGCCACTACTGTGGCATAGTAGGTTAAGCAACTGTCTGTGACACTATCATCCCATGTAGGCATCAGTTTGAGTCTCAGCTGCTCCACTTCTAATCCAGCTCCCTGCTAAAGCACTTGGGAACACAGCAGAGGCTCCTGCACTGACATAGTAGACCCAGAAGAAGCTTCCAGCTCCTGGTTTTAGACGGGCTCAGGTCTGGCCATGGCAGCCACTTAGGGAATGAACCAAACAGATAGAAAATCTGTTTCCACCTTTCTCTCTGTGGGTCTACCTTCAAATAAACTTTCCATAATTGAATCATCTATGGATGAGATCACTACACAGCACAACATGGTTTGTGGAACATTGTTAGTCCACAAACTATTTGGCATCTGCCTGTGACAGCACGAGGACGGAGGCAAAGGTGTGAGGCAAGTACATCAGTAAGCAGTGTTTATTTCTGTCATCATTTTACTTCTCGCCTCTAGACCTTCATGATGAAGGAAGCAGAGTGTTGTTTTACTTTCCAGACCATGATTCTTATCTCACTGTAGATTGTTAACAGATAGTTCTTGGCTCAGAACTTGAATAATGCTAACAAAAAACTCCAAAATTCATAGAGAAAATGTTCAAACAAATTTAGAGCATGATAGCCATGTTTCTGTTTTCATGTCTATTTTCATGATAGGAGAGGAAATATATCCAATAAACATTAGTTAAATATATATTCATATATATATATATGAAAATATCTTTGAGATTGCAGTGTATCGCTCAAATTCTATGCACCTTCTCTGTAAGAGAATTGTATGTCCATGCCTATTGTCATGGGATATACTTCGCTTTCCTGTGGAATATGTGTTCCTGCTGTTGCTATCAGACTTGATCAAGGACTTATCTTGCTTGAGGAATGTGAGCAGATGACCTATACCACATCCCACATCCCTACAGCTGTTTAAAAAGCTGCTTCTTTGGCTTGTGCAGTGACTCAATATACTAATCATCCACCTGCTAGCACCAGCATCCCATATAGGCATCGGTTCTAGTCCCAGCTGCTGCTCACTTTTGATCCAGCTCCCTGCTTGCAGCCTGGAAAAGCCGTAGAAGGTGGCTCAAGTCTTTGGGTCCCTAAATCCATTTAAGAAACTTGGAAAAATCTCCTGGCTCCTGGCTCCACACAAGGATTAGTCAACCACCTCTACTCATTACAAGCGCCATGATCTCTCAACTCACCCACAGTAATAATCTGATCATTGGTATGGCCATACACACACACTCTAACTCTACTCTAGTCAGCTTTCCCACACAATGTTCTGAAAGCGGGCTTCCAGATTCATAAAACTGAACATAATAAAGCTGGCTCTGCAGTTTTTCAATACCTGGTCATAGCATGAATGACCAGGTCCTCACTGACCTCAGCAGCCTCATCACATGCCACTCTCATCTCACAGTCTACAGCTAGATCAATCTGGATTTCCTTTGGTTCTTCACACGGGCCAAACTTTTCCACCACCAGAACACATGTTAGAACCATGCCTCCAATAACGAATTTTTAAAAATCAATTTATACATCATTTCTTCAAGGAAACACTCCCTGACCTTCAGACTGGGTTAGATCTCTACATTTTAATGATCTCTTGGCACCTTTCCACTCCTTCATCACACCCAGGGCCTGTGCCACTATGTATTCAATTTCCAGGCTATCTTTTGGTTAGAGGCTCCTTGAGGACAACAATCATGCCTGTCTTCTCTGCTCTATTGCAAAGTGCTTGGTCTGAGGCACTTTCTAAATCAACTGTAATGAACATTATCCCCTGCCAAATGCACATTTTTGCTTTTATTATGAGCTTTTTTTCTTTTCACAAAATTGCACAGTGCTGCAACTGTCAGTAAAATCCAATTAGGACATAGCAGCATTTGTTCATTTCACAGATATTTTTCAAGTAATTAATATATGCAAATCATTGTGCCAGGAACCTGGATTCAAAGAGAGAAGAGATATATGTGATTGGCAGGTGGCAAGAAATTTAACAAGAGGCCTGGAAAAGAGAACAAAAATCAAGAAAAGATAAGACAGAACTGGTAGATTTGAGGATCTGAAAATATTACTGATGAGGGTTCATTAGGAACATTTTAAATTTTTTTTATTTTTCATGTTGTTTACATAGTTGACAAGAACGTAAGCCCATGAGGACCACCGAATGGGGTGGGAAAAATCGAAGGTGGTGGGACAAATGCTTTCTTTTCCTTCCTTAAAGAAATGCTTTTCTTAAAGCATTTTCTTTCCTTAAAGAAATGCTTTCTTTTCCTTCCTTATCTCCCATATGGGGGTGGGCGGAAGAGGGAAGAAGGCAAAAAATGGGGAGGATGCCACTCCCAGCTTCCAAACTACATCAGTACCCAGGGATGAAGGTGTTCACTTGGTGTCATCTTAGAAACCCTGATGTGGAGAAGAATGCTCCAAGGGTGTTCCTTGAGTGGTTTGATGGTCCCGAGGTACTGTTGGTTTCTCTGCTGCAAATTTGAAAATCCTCCCCAGGTCCATAGGCTGACAGAGTCCCACCTATTGCATCTGCTCACTCAGATACATGCTGCCAAATCTTGGCTAGGAGAGTTTGTCTAACCTGTTGTGTTCTCCATCTCCTTACATGGCATTTGACATCCCCTGCAACTGCAGAGGTCTGGTCAGTGGAAGCCACCCAGAAGCCATTCCTCAGCTGTGATGTTTTCTCTCAGTGGTCCTCCCTCCCACACATCCCCAGACTCCCTTTTCTGAGCAACTCAAAGGTCCTCTAGCCCAGTCTGCCAGTGGTGTGTGTGTGCAATGTGGTGCCCTGCCTGCCTGCCTGGGGCCTGTGCATGCTCACACAGGTCCCCAGACCCTGACTGCAGACATGCTAGCCAAGGGCCCTGCCAGCCTGCCGGAGTCCACACACACTCACACATGGATCCTCAGACCTCCATGCCAGTAGGGGCATCTGTCGGTGTGCTAGCACCTGGAATTGTATCATTCTTAAACTCATCCTTTCTTTTTTCATAGTATTTCTGGATGTAAAACAGCTTTGCTGAATTCACTGAGGGGATATTAGTAGTTCTGACTTTTTACCATTACAGGTTTGGGCTCAGTACAATAGCCTAGTAGTTAAATTCTTGTCTTGCATGTGCCAGGATCCCAGCTGGTCGCCAGTTTGTGTCCCGACCACTCTACTTCCCATCCAGCTCCCTGCTTGTGACCTCAGAAAGCAGTCGAGGATGGCCCAAAGCCTTGGGACCCTGAATCCCATATGGGAGACCTGGAAGAAGCTCCAGGCTCTTGGTTTCAGATCTGCTCAGCTCCAGCCACTGTGGCTACCTGGGGGAATGAAACAGCAGATGGAAGATCTTTCTATACATAGCTCCTTTTCTCTGTATATCTGTCTGTCCAATAAAAATAAACAAATCCTTAAAAATAATAATTACAGATCTGCAGGAAGTTCTCAAGGTGATATGTGAAATCAACAAGTGGCCTTCATTCACCTTCTCCCAGAGGTTACAATTTATTTCCTTTTAAACAAAAAATAAGTAAAAGAGAGATAGAGAATCCTTTCAATTGGTTTACTCACTGAATTTCCACAAGAGCCAACAGCTTCCATGTGGCTGCCGGGAACCCAATACTTGAGCCATCCATCATTTGCTGCCTCCCAGAGTCTGCAGGAGCGGCACTTGGGATCAGTGGCAGGCACCAGGCATCGAACTCACATGGGTGTCCTCGTTAGTGTCTTAGCTACTGAACAATTTCTTACATTCTTGCAGTGCAATATCAAAGCCAGGAAGCTAACATTGGTGCAATGTGTGGACACTTCCATGCCATTTCATTGTGTAAGACACGTGGCTACAAAAATGCATCCATCTATGGACGCACTCTCCCTCCCCCATCCCAGAATATAAATTTAAATGTTGTTGATCTATCTCATCTGTGTTCCATTTTCTCCTGCTTCCTCTCCTCTCTTCCCTTCCTTTTCCTTCTCCTCCTTTCTTTCCCAGCTGCTATGAATTGTCTGGTGGTCTTGCCTGTCCAATCACACATAAACATGGGGTGAATTCCAAGCTTAGCATGTGCGCCCTTGTAGGACTCATCACAGAAGAGTGGTCTTTCAAGCCCTCTTGCTCCTTGGAGGACCGTCCCAATGTCAGGGCCTGGAAAACTTCTCTAGAATCCCCTCTGCCTTCTCTCCCTGCATCAGGAGGGTGCACACCCAGCTGCAGCCTCCTGAAAGCAGAGTGGGAGGAAGAGGTTGGAGGCTGAGTCCTCAATGTGCAGATCTGCGCCCAACCCCTTTGAGTTCTGCATTGCCCCTAACTTGCCCCACTTTCCTTCCCTGCAATCCTGTTGAGTTTCTCAAGTTCGGTTTCTAGACAAGAAACCTCCGGTCCCTGAGAGCAGAGAAGGGTGCTGTCCAGAGCCATGAGGATGGGGAGGACGTCTGACAACTGTGAATGGAGACTTCCAGAAAACTCTCCTGTTCCCACCCTGGTCCTCTGGACACCTCACACCTGTGCTAAGCTGCTTTGTGAGTGAACACACACATGTATATACACACATGTATACATGCATTCACACCCGTACACACACCTCTGCAGGCTCTCTTACAGCAAAAACTGTCCCATAAACCACCAACCCCCCATCAACATTGCTTTTGCCACAGCATTTCCAATATGACGGTGCTTTGGAAATTTTTCTCTGTAAGCCATTTAGCAGCAAGAAATCAGAGATTCAAACTTGTTACCTCGAGACAAGGCAGGGAGGGATGCCCTGGGAGCTCTGCCACCTCCTTCTGCTCTCTTTAGGACAACATCTTCTGCCTGCTGTGATGTGCTTACTGCTCTCCTGACTTAATGCTGCCCTCCACACCATGCCTTGCTCTGCCCGACCAGCATGCTCACATATGTAAGCCATCTCCTGCTACCCCCATGGTCTGCATGAGTAGGAAGCTGGAGTCAGGAGCAGCACCAGGCATGCCACCCAGGTGGGCGCCTGCTCCCAACCTCTAGGATTCTGACATCAGAACCTGGAAACTGACATAGGTATAGTGTGTGTATGTGTGTGTGTGGTTCCACTTCAGAAGATACATGACCACAAGATCTGTCCCTCTGTAGGTACACACGCCCTCCCCCACCATAGAATTCTGGTTAGACTGCGTTTTCTGCTTTCATCATGATCTACTCTATCTTTGTTCTGTTTTCTCACTTGGGACTATTGCAGTGGGAATTCCTGCTGCTCATCACCTGAACTGTTTTGTTTCAGTTTTTAATTATTTGAAAGGCAGCAAGAGAGAAGGGAAGAGGGGGAGGAGGGAGCTCACCCACCATTTCACTCCCCATAACACCTGTAACAGCCCCCGACCAGCCAGGATGAAGTTGGAAGTCGAAGTCTCAACCCAGCTCTCCCAATGGGCAGCTGGGATCCAATACTACTACTACTACTTGGGCTGTCACTTACTACCTGGAAGAGAGGAAACTGAAACCTGGAGCCAGGGCTGGGAATTGAACCCACACACTACAATATGAGATGGAAGTGTCCCCAAGTGTCCTCTTAACTCCTACCTCACTACCTGTTCTTTTGATCACTTAGATTCCAGGCAAAAGGAAGCTTTTCGGTCTCTTAGCTCTCCTACCAGGGACTAAACCCCAGGGCCTAGGTCAGCTGAAGGACTGGATAGCCTGGGTTGGTCGCATTTGCAGAGAACAGCGGTGGATCAAGCAGACTGCTGAGCTACGGTGGCTGGGGCAAGCAGGATTCTCTTAGAGATCAATGGCTGTGTCCCACATTCAGGCTCAGCAGAAACTCTGAAGTCCCACAAGCCAGTTCAGAAGAAAGAACTACAATTCTAGCGTCTTCACCTAAAAAAATTCTCTCAAGGCTGTGTTGGCAGTGCCCTCTTGTGGACAGATCAGGCACCTTCAGCCGCCGCAGCATTGCAAGGAAATGAGGAGAAAAAAAAAAAGAAAGAAACAGACACTAATAGTTAAGATTCAGCTGCAAGGCTACTCCCTGTCAGGTGTTGTTCTCCTCACCTGACCCACGTCCCCTCACTTCTTCCTCACAACATCCCCCTGTGGTGGCAGCGCCACTGCTCACACCCGTGGGCACGCGTGGGGACACAGCTGCCAACTCTCCCAAGGTCACCTTCAGGATCTGCCCAGCGGTGTGTAGCTCCATTGTGGAGAAACCCTGCTGGCCCCTCTCTTAGCACCCCCTGGCCGGTGCCACGCTCCGCCAGACGCCTGCTCAGCAGAGAAGCCTGCCTTTGTGTTCTCAGAAACCAGATGACTACTGACGGTCAGTCTCAAGGTCAAGGTCCCTGGGCTATGGCGCCCTGTTAGCCAATCAGTCCCTGGCGTGGGTCAGGGAGGGCCGCATTCTGTCGACCTGATTCGTGAAGTCAAGGAGCTGGTGGTCTTCCATGGTCTGGGAGGCATGACCCACTCTTATAGAAAAAGCCGGAGGTTTTCATGCAGAAGGCAGCTCTGACCCAACCTGAACTGCAGGTTTCACTTTTACCTCATTGGCCCCACAGTCAGATAAGCTCAGACCTTTCAGTTATTCCATCAACAGAGCTGGGACTGTGTGTGTGTCCCCCCCACTGATACAGCCACCAAGACCAGCTCTCTGTCCAGCTGGAGTCATTGTCCCTCTCTGGGCCCTTGCTCATCTGTGGTTAGTGACACCACTGTGCCAGCCAGCAAAAGCCCTGGAGCAGGTGTCCACCAAGCAGCTGGGGAGAGCCTAGCCTTTTAGCTTCTGTCCCAGGAAGCTCTCACAAACATTTCAGGAAAGCATTTAAAAATTAGCTGGAAATGGGCAACTGGACATGAAAACAACATCCTGTGAACATAGGCTCAAGTTCAGTCTGGTCAGCGAAGTGCAAGAGGCAGATGTAGCTTACCACTGAAGATGTGGATTCAGACACTCAGGCTCCATATTAGAGTTTCTGGGTTGGACGTTGCCTCTGGCTTCTGACCGGAGCTTCCTGCTAATGCAGACCCTGCGAAGGACAGCTCAAGTGATTGGATTTCTGCCACCACTTGGCTCCAGCTAGAGCTATTACAGGTATTTAGGGTGAACGAGGTGATGAGAACTCACTTCCCCTCTCTTCAACTCAAAAAAAATTTTTTTCCAAAAAATTAAGCAACTATGAATTAAAGCAATAATACAACATTCTCCCCTTCTCAGGCAAGGGTATTAAAAAAAAAGTAAATATAGGGGCTAGCATGTTGGCTCAACCAACTAATCCTCTACCTTCAAGTGCTAGTTTCCCATATGGGTGACAGTTGGTGTCCTGACCATTCCACTTCGCATCCAGCTCCCTGCTTGTGGCCTGGGAAAGCAGTCGAGGACAGCCCAAAACCTTGGTATTCTGCACCTGCATGGGAGACCCAGGAGAAGTTCCTGGTTCAGTGATGCCATTGAGGTCATTTGGGAAGTGACTCAGCAGATGGAAGATCTTTCTCTGTCTCTCCTTCTCTCTATAAATCTACATTTCCAATAAAATTTTTAAAAATAATAAATATATGTCTAGTGTATTTCAACTTCAATAAAGCTAAAAGAAACAAGATTTTTTTTCTCATACACAAAGCAGAATATCTCCCCCTCCGAACAGTCAGCCCTTGGGGAAGGCGATATGGGGAAACCTATGCCAACATGAATGATAGCTACACTTAGACAAAACAGATCTTTTCCTAGAATTTATCTTACAAAAACTGTTCAAGCTGATGCCAAAGGAGCAGCTTAGAAATAAAAGAGGGAATGGAAGGGGAAGAGAAAAGGGGAGAAAATCACCCTTACAACATAATTAGATCCATGAATAAAAGTCTAGATAAAAGAAAAATGTATCCTAATAAACTTAATAGCAAGGCCTTTAGACAAAAATTGGGAAATGAGCTGAACAAATGGTAGCAGAGCCATAGAACAGGATACTATTGAGGTATTAAAATAATTGTGTAGGTCTATGGGGAATTACAGGCAAAGGTATTTGGAACTATCGAATAAAAGTCAATTATAGAACAGAATTTATTACATAATCCTTTTTTAAGAATACACATACAAGCATGTCCACCAAAACAAGCACACATTTCAGATGTCTAGGATTTTTAGGACATGAATAATATTTATAATAAGAACTAATAATATATTACATTTCTATTTAGAGAGTAAATCAAAACAAAGGACAAATAAATATATTTCTAATTGGCTAGGCTCTTGGAAAGTTTGCTTTTATTTATCTGTCTACTGATTTATTTATTAGACATAGTTATGATTTTTATTCATGATAATCCAATCAAGGCTCAAGGATTCCTTTTTGAGCAGCTCTTCTTAGGGGATTCCTGCTCTTGGTTTGCAGGGATCCCCCCAAGTTCCCTGTGCAAGCCAGGCCTGGTGTCTTGGGTCAGAGTCTTGCAGCAGACTCGCCGCAGGAACCTGATAATCCTCCGGCCAATCCTTCTGCCAAGCCCTTGCTGGCCCTGGCTCTGGACAGAGGCAGCTGCTGAGGGCCCAGGCTCCTTGGAAACAGAAACTGCTCAGAAACAAAATAATAATAATAATAGTAATAACAATAGTAATAATAATAATTGTTATTATTATTATCTCTACATAGTTGATTAGGGCACAAAGGATCAAGGGCTACAGGAAAGTGGGTAAGGCCATTGTTTCCACATTCTCCTTTTTCCTTCCTGAATCTAGGGGAAGGGAGAGATAAAGGGAGAAGTCCCACCCAGCCTCCCACCCATCCCAGGTCCCTGATGTATGCTCCGAGGGTCCTGCTCAAGTGGTTTTGATAGTTCAACAGTTCTGAATTGCTGCCAATCTCGCCATTCCAAGCTCAATGAAATCTCTCCAGAATCCACTGGTTGACATAGTCCATCTTAGAGTCTCTGTTTACCCAAATTCTCACTGACAACACTTGGCTGGGGCAGTTGATCAATTTGTTCTGTCCTCTGTCATGGTACCAGTTGTCTTACGCAGGCTCCAATGTACGGCTTTATCCTCCATGTGCACCTGCATATGTTGTCCATTGCTCTGTCTGAGCCATTGAGGAGGATCAGCTTTAACACATGCAATCCACAGTCAAACCATAGAAACTGCAATTCTCTCCATGGTTGGGATTCTGAGTCCAGCAGCTCAGTTGAGAGGATCCCCGAAAGAAATTTCATCTGAGGTAATCCAGACCAGATTCTTGTGTGTGCTTACCAGTATAGGGCCTGGCACAGTCCATCACCCTAATCAGCTTATGCACGTGCTAGTGGTTGAAATTGCTGGGTCAGTTCTGTTTCCAGTCCTGTCTTCCACATGAAACAATGGGTGTTAGAGCCCAGCCCTAGTGGGTTATAACTCTCACTGATGATCATATGGTCCAGGCCCCACTTGACCATTCCCAGACCCAGTTCTCATGCATGTCAGTGGTTATTAGGCAGTGCTTGGCATAGTCTGGCCTTCCAATTTGGCCTTGTATGAGCTGGTAAACATTGCAGCCTGGCACACCTCGCACTCTATTTTAGGATGTACATTTGGGCGCTGCTGCCTTGACCTGCCCAGACTATTGTCAGTTCCTTTACCTGTGAGTGATGGCAGGTTCCACTGTCACACCCAGCTCAGCCCATCACCATCCCAACTCTTGAGCTAACCATGAGCCTAGTATTTCCACAGGGTTTGGCCCACACATCCCCCACAGAATCTACGCCCAGAAATGGTTCTCTCAAGTGCTGGTTAGTGTCATGGCCCTGCCTAATGTGACCCATACCCTGATCCAACATTCTGTCAGGTACTAGGATCTGGCCCTACTAGACAAGCCCCCAGCCTTAGCTTTTGCATGGACTGGTGTGTGGTGGTCAGCACTGTTCAGTGATAACAGGTTCTACACAGGACTCATAAGTAGGCTGGTATATCAGTCTGATCCATAAAGATCATCCAGTCTCTCTCTTCCAAACCACCAGGTCTCAGTATCCTCACTTACCTTCAAGGAAAAGTTATTCTGTTGTTGGGAATCCTTCAGGATTGATTTGCAACCACAAACACAGTGGGCTCAACATGGACATACCTAGGTAGCAATTCCATACCACCAAGACCCCAGAGCTTACCTCCTGGTGCCAAATAATGCATAGGCTGTCCAGGCCCAGCTCAGTGTGTGTTCCCAATGGGTGGAGCCAGGGCCCCCAGCATGGAGTCTAAGCTGGCCTGGGACCTCCCAGCAGCCAATAGGCTCCTGGAAATTCTCTTACCCAGACCCCAAGGTCACACCCTCCTAGGCCCACCCACTGCACAATGTTGACAGCAGGTGGAGCCCGGGCCCACCCTCTTCCCCAGAGTTCCTTTCTCAACATACTCACAAGGAAGGGAAAAGCCTCTGGAGCCCAGACATGCTTGGGCCCAGCTCACCGTGTGTTCACGATGGCTGGAGCCAAGACCCCAAGCATGGAGTCCAACTTGGTCCAGGACCTCCCAGCAGCCAACAGCCTCCTGTTGTTTCTAAGCTAGCCATCAAAAGTATGCTAGTAGAACAGCCCAAACAGACTAAGAGAGTAACAAACGTATCCCAAACCTACTCATCCTCCTCACAAGAGGCTACATTAAAACCTCTTGTATTAGTCAACATAGGCTGAGCTATAACAGCAAGAACATGTGCCTGCAAAATCTCAGAATTCCAATCAAATAAAGGTTACTTTGTTACTTTTGCAGTGTCTTACGCTGATGCCAAACACCTTTTCAAACCATCTGTCATGGAAGGTACTTGGCTGCACTAGACCAAACGCCCACTCCATGCAAGATGTTTTAAGAACTTGGTAAAGGTTAGGCACATCCCTTCCACTGGTATTTCATGGACTGCTCTTCGGTCACCTGATCCACCTACACACAAATCAGACCAGGGTATGCACTTTAACTGTGAGTGCATGAAGAGGACAGGAGCCCGGTCTTGGGCAGATGCAACATACTATAAGTACATCTTTCTTCTTGCTTTTCTTACAGGCCCATAGTTAAGACCATAGTCGTTAACTTGATACAATAGATATTGTCCAACAGCCATGAGCAAACCACTTCCTGTTGTATATCAACAGAGAAGCTGTTCCCTCAGAGCCTTCAGAAGCAGCCTGCTTTTGTTTTACACATGTGAGGACAGAAAGGAGCAGTGTACAGGAAAACAGTTCAGATCTGGGCTGACTGGGGACTCTGATCAAACTCTTCTCTAGAGGCATCTTCACGTACTACTCCATAAACAGCCTCTCGAATGGCTTTGCTGACGCATTTCTAATGTTGGTGTTTATTTAAAGTAAATGGGACTGTGGATGACAACAAAGTAAGGGGGCACAATGCAACAGGGGGAACCTTGGAAGTACCTGTGCTTCCGGCTGGGGTGACAGCAGGAGGGTTCCGTGGCTGAGAGGCCCATCTGTTCACCCACCATTCTGGATAGAGGGTGGATAATCTGCTGCCTCCCTGATCCCAGCTGCTGCTTCCTACAGAAGAAAACATTGTAGGTGAGTCACGGAGGGGAGTGGGTCCTCAGCCCCTGCCTGGCAGGTTGATATCTTGGTGCTGGTTTAGTTCAGAGGACTCTTTCAGGCACCAGCATAATTTTTTTTTAAGCTGCTACTTCTTTATAAGAAAGAGGAAGAAGAGAAAAGGAAGCAGACAGAATCTTTCATCCATTGGTTCACTCCTCAAAAGTCCACAACAGCTCAGACTAGACCAAGTGAATGCCAGGAGCCAGATCTGGGAATTTAATCCACATCTCCCACAATGGTGGCAGGGACTCAAGCATTTGGGCCATCTCCTGTTGCTTCCCAGGACATACATTCTCAGGAAGCTGAATCAGAGGTGGAGCCAGGACTCAAATCAGGTGTGAACACCTTAACCGCTGAGACAAAGGCCTGCTCCTCAAATGGCTCCCGAGGTCATCATGAACTGCACTACCTGGTGTACGGGCATCCCCGGTAGGCATGCTTCCTGCATGCAAATGATTAAACATCTCTATCTTTAAATAGATCATACCTCCACTGGGGTGATAAGAGAAATCACAGTTCCCTCTTTTCACTTCACTAGAAGCTAAGATAGTACTTTCTTGAGTGATGCAGACTGCAAGTGTTTGAAAACTGCAAAGAATGAGTAAAGGGGAAAGTGATAGAATGGGTTCTTCAGCATCCTCATACAAACATGGGCAGCTCTCCCAGCCAAGCAGACTCACATGGGAAGCATATCATTTAAGCAACTGTGTTTCCTTCTGCATGTTTCCAGGTCTCTACCTGTGTCTTTTGCCTTGTCCACTGCCTCCTACCTCCTACTCTGTTCCTGAACCTCTGATACATTTTAATTTTTGTGACATGCGAAAATTGATGTGGACCCATCTGCCTTTTCATGTGAGATTTCCCTGCCCTTGTACCGTGATACCAGGATTTAAGCCACCAGCTTGCAAATTCATGGCTATCCCCTGACACTTGGAAGGCACTCAGCTCTCTCTAGGAGTGGAGAGAGAGAAGAGGTGCAGTGTTCTCTGGTCCCTGCTCTGCATCTTGGGTCATTATGTATACCCCCACATATTGGCAGATAAGTAGAGGTTTCTATCTCATTGCTATCTTCCCTTAACTGAGACCTGAAGGTTACAAGTACAATTAAAATGTGATGTAGTCTCTCATGGACCAGGAACTGAGATGGTATTTCATACTTGTTGTTGAATCATCATGAAGAAACCCAAATGGTAGATATGTTCCTTTCCTCGGGCTGCCAGAACAGACTAGCACAAACAAAACAGTTTAAAACAACAGGGCTTTATTCTCTTAACACTGGATATCAGAAGTCTATATTCAAGGCATCCAGAGGTTTGGGTCCTCTCAAAGGTAGAGAAGGTTCAGTCATTTTTCTAGAAGTTTCTACTGCTCCCAGCAATCCTTGGTGGTGCAGATATGCCACCAAGTCCTGCCTCCATCCTTCCCTGCATCTTCTATCCAGATGATCTTTTTTGGTAAGGACACCAGACATAGGTATAAGGCTCCTCCTAATTTCATATAACCTTGTCCTGACTTCATTACAAAGGTCCTGAAAAGCCTTAGTGCGAAACAGGTTCCCAAGTCAGGACTTTAACATATCCTTTTGGTGGTACAACTCAACACAGAGTAGCAGCAATTACACTATTCCTCATATTATAGATCAGAAGCTGAGACTCAGGGTAGCTCACTCATAAATGCAGAAAATAGGTGGTATGGTTCAGTTTTTATCCATCTGGTCTAGACCATGGTACTAGAACATCTCCTCTAAGTACCTTATTTTCATTTCTTAGCCCCCTATCATTGTATAAGGTTATTATTTCTATTCTACAAACAGAGCACAGATCATTTAAGTAGCTCACGTAGGTCTGAAGGGGAATATCTAGGATTCAGCCCTAAGTCCTGGCCAACAATTCTCACCAGGTCAACATAACGTAGTGTCTTTGGGAATGCTCTCCCCTCCCCACCTTCATATCCCCTACCTGAGGATGACATGTTTCAAGAGCTGTCTACCACATGTCGGATGTAGATGACAGAATTCATAACTGCGACTCAATGCCTCGGCATGAGCAGTGGTCTGATGGCAAAGACTAAGGATTCACTTCCTTCCAGCAGCCAAGCAAGAGAGGCACTGAAACATCTACTAAAGAGCAACATGTGCTACACTCGTTATTTCTGCCAGGGGCTGAGCGTCACATCTGTGTTTTAGCAAATACCTTACCAGGAAGGGGCCTCTCCCTCCAGGGTGGGCAGGAACTAACTCTCAGACAAAACTACTGAGTGGTTCCACTCAATTGGTATCATTCTTCCTCAGCATCAAAAATCTAAAACCTTACTTTCTGGCATCGGTGTGTGCTGTTTGGTGATATCACAGATGTATAATACATTCTCATACCCTCACCAGTGCCTTCCAAATACAGCAGCCCTGAGTCCTGAGACCCTTCAAGCAATGCTTTAGCTACAGTGACATTCCGAACTCAGCATGAGGAAATGAGTGAGAAGATTCTCCCAGTGTCCCCATGTGTGAGGTAGATGAGCACCTGTGAATGGGAGTTGTCTATGTTTCTGAGCTCTCCAACAGAGCCTTGGGCAGAAGAGGCATTAAACACTCGTGCTGCCCCTGGGGACCTGGGCCAGATTCTTTCTGCTAAATCCTCTGCCTCCTTCTCTCTAAGTGCAAACATTAGAATGTGCCTCAGAAAGTGTTTTTTTTTAAAGATGTGTCTATTTTTATTAGAAAGGCAGATTTACAGAGAAGGAGAGACAGAGAAAAAGATCTTTTACCTGCTGGTTCATCCCCAAGTAGCCACAATAGCCAGAGCTGAGCCAATCCAAAGCCAGTAGCCTGGAGCTTCTTCCGGGTCTGCCACATGAGTGCAGGGGCCCAAGGCTTTGGGCCATCCTCTGCTGCTTTCCCAGGGAGCTGGAAGGAAAGTGGAGCAGTAAGGATATGAACCGGCACCCATATGGGCTCCTGGTGCAAGAAAGACAAGGATTTAGCCACTGAACCATCACACCAGGCCACAGAGCATGTTTACACCAGAAGGCATGAGTTTGAATTCCAGTTCCTCTTCTAAGTCCATCTTCTAGCTATCAAGTACCCTAGGAGGAGAGGAGACAGCCTGAGAGGCTGAGTCCCTGCCAGTCATGGGAGAGGCCTGGATTGAGTTTCCTGCTCCTAGACATCTGGGGACTGAACTAACAAATGTCTCTGCTTCTCAAATTAAATAACTGAGGTAATGAATGGGGTATAAGAGGACAGTGACAAAATCAAAAATACTGCTTCAATATAAGATACTCACTTCTAGTCAGGTAATCAGTATTATCCATCTGAATAATGCACAACACGGATACACCTTCTTATACACACACAAACACAGGTTGGGACAACCCATTTGTTACATGCCCATGTCATTTGTGAAGCTAGCCTAGATTATACATGGTTAGTATGTGAGAACCCCGAGGAAAATGACAAGTAGGTTTTAACCTGAGAACATTCCTGCCTGCAGACATGCCAGGAAGGCACCAGTCCCTGGGCCCCTCTCGCTCAAGGTGGAGAAAGCAAACAAGAAGCAAAAAAACCAAAAAAACAAACAACAACAACAAAAAAACAGGTGCACAAGTGTCAAGAAGCAAATAAACATATGAAATATTAAGTAAAAATTTATAAAAGTTCTGCAATTCACCTACTCGTTTCAATGCCCACGATTTTAAAGTTATTACTAGAATCACATTAACAGTATTTCCTGTAAGCTAATGTAAGTGCGAAAATACAGTATGTTCAGTTTTATGTTTTTGATGCAAGAAGCTCAAGGACGGGGATGAAGAACTAACCACCTTTTGATCCCCCAACTTAGTCCAAAACAGCGTGGCCTGGTTAACAAGCTCCTACCACTGGAGTGGAGCCATCTCAAAGAGTGACACATCTAGAGGTAACTGCCTCAAACTGCATCTACAAGCAGCACTAAGCAATGAAAACTCACCTTGAAATAAAAGCAACTGCTGAAGTCATGTGTCCTCTCAATACAAACCCTAGGATAAATAAAATGTCTCATACTGACGTTATTACAAAAAAGCATTTGAACAGGAAAAAGAAGCGTGAGCAAACATTTTTGATTGCATTTTTGTTCATTGCATGTGTTAAACAGTTTCAGTAAACGAGCTTGAAAGGAAGTAATTCATCTTGTCAATTACAATTATGTAGAAACCTCATCTAAATACAACTATTCAAGTCCAATTTAAGATGTATATAAAAGTTACAAAATTCAGTAGCAGCAAAAATATCAAACATTTGTCAACAAAACCGCTAGTAACAACCCCATGCTTCAAACATTATATATACATACATATATACACATACCCAATAAAGAGAACATTGAGCATCCTTTTTCATGATGCACAATGCCTGATATCTAATATACATCTAATACATATCTAATAATGGGAACAAATCAGTTTTATTGTAAGGCCTGTCGAAGTCTTGTTTCACAACACCAGGGCCATCATGTTGCTGCAGAGGACAAGTTTTCCAGCAGTCTTCTCCTGGCTGTGATCCTGGCACACCGGGGGCATTGGGATGACCGGAAGCACTGCTTGTGGAAGCAAGCCCTGCACACTGCAAGCAAGGGAGACAGGTGTCAGCAAAGGCAGCAAACTGCTTCCTCATATAGAAACTGACACTCCTCCCTCCCTGGGGAAAGGAGAGGGTCTCAACCCCGACCCCAGAGTCTTCAACAGAAAAAACATGGGTAGATAATTTGCAATTGTGTAAGGTTGCCACTTGGGATACCTGCATTCCGTATTGGACTCCCCGAGTTGGAGTCCCAGTCCCACTTCTGATTCATCTTCACACTAAAGCACACCTTGGGAGGCGACAGGGGATGGTTGAAACAGCTGTATCCCTTCCCACCCTACATGACAGACCAGAATGGTATTCCAGGCTCTAGGCTTCAGCCTTCCTCAGCCCAGCTTTGGGGACATTTAAGGAGTGGCCTAGAAGATGGAAGATATTCTCTCATTCTCTCTCTCTCTCTCTCTCTTTTTCCACCTCTCAAATAAATTAGTTTTTTAAAAGTAACTCAGTGACACAGAAAATCATTTGCCTTGGAGGTCACAAACGTGCAGCTCAGAGAGCCTGAAGCAACAGGTGCTGCGATGCCCCAGGATCTGCCTGAGCCATGAAGCACATGGTCCACCAGCTGCTGAGAGAGCTGATGCCCGAGAGCTCTTAGGAAGGGGTACTGCTTTCTCTTCAAGTGGCCCTCCGTGGGAAGATTCTGCACTCAAAGTCACCAACCTGCATCCAGCAAATGATCATGATGGAGGTTAAGAACTCGTCCAGTCCTCTTTCTCCACTTTAGGATGATACTTAATGGGCTCCCAAGCTTGGGAATGCCCCATGAAGTAAACTGAGAGTCACAAGGCATTCTGGCCATGGTTAAGCTTCTCCTGCTGCCTTCATGTCCTCACAGGTGGACATGCCCCAGTGAACATTGTTCATAGAAAGACCAACCCAGGGGGTTCTCTGCTGGAGAGCCCATCCTGCAACAATGCATGGTGGGTTCAGAGAGTAACATGTGGTAGCCCAAAAGGAGGACACTTCATGGGAGACAGCCAAATTTATGATCAGGGTCTCTCCCATGGAAAACAGTCCCAGAGCACATAAGATCCCCTTGTCCACTAACACCACAGGATAGCGGTCACAACCATTTCTGTGAAGAGTCAGATAGGAAATGACACAGGCTTATAGGCCACATATGCTCTGTAACAGCCACTCAACTCAACAGCCATGGTGGTGCAGAGGCAGCCAGAGACAACACGTCCAGCACTGGCTGTGACTGTGACCCAGTGGCAGCAAGACAGGCATACAGGACAAAGACTACCTCTTCTATCAGACGTTGCACTAGGATACATCATCCTCATCCCTGCACCAGCCTGTGTGCTAAAACATCTTCGGGGGCTGGCACTGTGTTGCAGCAAATAAAACAACTGCCTACAACACCAGCATCCCATTTGGATATGCGTTTGAGCCCTGGTTACTCTACTTTGGATTCAGCTCCCTAGTAATGTGCCTGGGAAAGCAGCAGAAGATGGCCCAAGTTCTTGGGTCCCTGTACGCACATGGGAAGAAGCTCCTGGCTTCTGGCTTTAATGTGGCCCAGCTGTGGCCATTTGAGGAGTGAACCAGCAGATGGAAGATCTTTCTCTCCCTATTTCTGTCTCTTCCCCTATCCTCCCTGTAACTCTGCCTTTCAAATAAATAAACCTTCAAAAAAGAATTAAAAATAAAACTATCATCTCCAAAATGCAAGAAAAAGAGAGAGAGAGAATCATTATATTTAGAAGAAGTAACTTTGTCCTTAGGTTATTAGCTGCCACTAAGCTTATGTTCTTAACTAGTTGAGATACCTGAACATCTTCTGCACGTGGTGGTCTGAAATGGGAAGATGACGCTCGCGCTTCGGCAAAACTCACAAATGAAGCCCTTTCCTTGGCACAGCTGTAAGAGAGGCATCCAAAGCATCATGAAGGCTGTAATCCACGCTGGGACTGCTTATCTTGGGGCTGAAGCTAACCCATCACCTCTGCAGAACTTTATAAGCTCAGGGTTTGAAGATCTAGAACTACAGCCTAGTTGTGGCACAGCATAAATCCAAACAACAAAATCATACAAATTCATCCATTTCACATGCACGCAGATCATAGTGTTAAACATGTGATTTTTATAATTTTATTTTTAATTTGAGAAGCAGAGAGACAAGGAACTGGAGTGCAGAGAGCTCCCCCATCTAGTGATTTACTTCCCAAATGGTTCACATTCCAGAATGGATGTGGTTGAGCCAATCTGAATTCAGGAGCTGGGAATTAGATCAAATCTCCCATGTGAGTGCCAAGAACCCAATTACTTGAGCCATGAAAGATTCTGGGTTGAGAGTTAGAGCCTGATATTGAACCAGATACTACGAAGTGGAAGGCAGGCACCTTAACTGCCAGTTTAATTGCTAAGCCAAATACCCACTCTTAAACACTTGTTCTTACATAATTTGATTTGATTCCTGATAGTTGCAATGAAGCACTTCAGTCCATGTAGACACAGAGCTTTCTGTTCTGCTGAACCCTGTGTCCATAGGGTTCTATGTTGGCACTTTGGGACACAGTGGTCCCCAAGTAGGGCTGCGTTCCCAAGACCATGGAGTTAATTGTTCCAGCACATATGCCAGCTCTGCCCCTTACTAGAAGCATGACCTTAGCTCATTACTGCACAGCTCTGAACTGCAGTATGTGTGAGAGCCAAATGAGGTCAAAGCCAACACAGGTCTTGGCACCTGACACTGCTCAGGGTACACCTGCTGCAGGAGAGCCCTCACCTCACAGCTGGCCACATGTGTGAGGGCGGCTCTCAGGATGTCCTTGAGGGAGGGAGTCAGCAGCCCCTTCTTGATCTTGACCAGGTCCTCTAGGGAGAACAGGTGGAGCTCATCAGTCAAGTGTCTTGGAACGTGCTCAAACTCCTTTAATACACTGCCAGGGAGGAAACAAAGAGGAATTCACAAACCACCCACACAGAGGCCAGGGCAGAATGAGGCCAGCTGTTTTCTGGCACTCATACCAAATCTTTTTACACTCAATTAAAAAAAAAAGAGTTCTGAGAACAGCATTGAACCTTGTTCATTAAGCTATCCTTTGCAAGTTTGTTCAGCAGCCAGAAAGTTTTATCCATATAGGCTGATTTCAAAAACTGGGTGAGCCAAAGAATTGCATCTTCTGCAGGCTGTACATGTACATACTGAACAAAAGAAAACTTAAATTTTATTTTTAAAATACAATTTCATGCCAGGTAGTGCTTGATTACCAAGTACTATAATTCAAATGTATTGTGGGGAGTCGCCTACATATGAGAGTGTTACCTCTGACAGGGCTAGAAGGTTAAAGGGATACATGTGGAACATGACCAGAAGGTTAAGGGAGATAGACACATCATGTAGCCAATTGCAGTGTCTTTAGTGGGCGAGGGCTCTGCCAGAAGATGCCCTCCTACCCGCCCCTTCTTTACCATTTAAAAGCTATAACCTGTGGTTAATAAAGCGGACATTCCTCACCAGCTTGTCTCTGGTGGTTCCTCGGCCAAGGGTCACCTTCGCCTCACCCTTGGTGACCTTGGGGCTTGCTGGCAGGGCTAACTCCCAAGGATGTACTATATTCTTCCCAGCTAAACTTCAAGCCACTCAACATCGGTGACTGTTGTCTAAGCCAGAAGAAAAATTCTCCCTCACTGGCAGGTGTGTGACTCCCAAATCCATGAGTAGTCCAGCAGTGGGCTTGAGATTTATATATCCAACTGCGTGCGGTCATGGCTGCTTAGATGTCCCAGGGACATTTGAAACTTAATATTCCCCAAACCTACTCATCGCCTCCTGACTGGTAGTACCAGCAACTGTTTTCCTAAGGTCTCGTTGACGTTGGCACTCTTTCAATTCCACCAGCCTGGGACACTTCACACTTTACTGCTTCATCATCCTAACTAGCTCTTTCTATGCTTGTTCTCTTACCCCACCTTGCTTCTAATTGAGCTCTGTGCCACTTCTGTTGTAGTCTCCTCTTGTACACATGTCTGAGTCAGACTTGGACAATGGTCTGTTTGAGCTGACTTTCCCATGGATTTACACAGATCTCCTGATTTTTTATTTTCTGACAATTTATCAGAACATAAATATTCATGGAATTTTTATAGAAGTGTGGATATTTCCACATGTTACGAGAAAACAGAGACCCTGAGAGATATTAACCTGTCACACTGATGCCATGACATAGAAGTTCAAGGTCAAATGACTAAAGAATGCAAGCTCTTTCCCAAGAAATCTAATCATGAGATAAGAAAGGTCCTCCAAACCTCCAATCATAAAGTAATGGCAAAGAAAGCGAAATGTCATTTACTCTGATTTAATTAGCATATAACATAAATGTCACAACACAGCCCAAATACATATAGTTATTGTTAATAAAACTGTATAAAAATCAGAAATTGAGAAGTTTTAAAACTAAAATTTCGAAAAAAAACTGTGTGACCTCACATTGAAACAAATATTTCTAACCCTTTTGAGTAACATATTCTTTGTCCCCTTTAGAATTTCCCTTTCAATGAATTCATGCCTAAACCTTCATTGATTGTATGGTGTTCTATGCTACAGCATTTATCATCATCTTACTACTGAAGATTATCATCATCTTATTACTGAACATTTTCTATCAACTAAATCTCTGTCCATTGCTATGGTGATATCATTAGATTATTTAATTATTACTTATTTATAGCCCTTGTCTATAACTCTTGAGGAACAGTGGTTTTTCCCCATCTTTTGCTAAACTTTTTCCTTAGTAGAGGATTAAGCTTGTGATTATAAAATAAGCTGAAAGCATATCATTGTAAAAACTACAAGACAACATCAGAAGGGAGAGAGGAGGGTGGGTGAAGCCATGGGTAGAGAGGAGGGTGGGGTGGTAACATCACTATGCTCCTAAGTCTGTATTCTTCAAATACTGAATTTTGTACACCTTGTATAAACATTTTGAAATTGAAGAAAAAAATAAGGATAACCTTCTAAAAGCATAATTTCTGGAGACCATGATCTCATCTGCTTTGATATGCCTCTCTCTAAAGGAATTCTAAAAAGCTGCTGCTCTACCCATGTTCATAGGTCGGCGCATTATTCAGAGTAGCCAAGCAAGAAACCAATCCAATTTTCCATCAACAAATGGATAAAACATGCTATATGCATACAATGATATATATATATATGAAATTTTGACATGTTATATTAAAAGCCACCCAGTCACAAACAAATACTGTATGATTCCATTCCACAAAGGTACTTAGTCAAGTTCACAGAGACAAAAAGGAACATGATAGCTGCCAAGGGGGTGAGGGGCAGTGGTAATTAGGGAAATGAATATTAATAGCTCTAGAGCTTTAGTCTGACAAGGTAAATGAGTTCTGAAAATGAATGTTAGTTGCATAACAATGTGAACCTACTTAATACCACTGAACTGTACACTTAAAATGGTCAAGATGGGACATACCCAGTCACATGTCTTCCCCACAATTTTCCATTAATAAGAATCATCAGAAGTCAATGGCTAGCTTCGTTCACCTTTGTCCTGGCCTGTTAATCTGTACAAGCTAAATTTGCCCCTTGTGACTTAAGGTTTAGTCATTTTCAAGAGACACTCTGTATTCCCAGGAGTAATCTACGGTCATTAATAGGGCGATGGGAACCAGGAGGTTCTCAGGGGACTGGCACAAGAACTGTTCCAGCCAAGAGTCATACCTGTGCGCAAATCTGCAAGTCTTTAACAGCTTCTTAATATGGAAAAGCTGCTCCCGGATTCCCTAGGGTGAGAACCAAATGGGGAAAAAAGCTAAGCATGATAAACAACATCAGGAATGTGCACATCAAATTTAAATGATATTCCCACTCTTGAAATGTTACACCTGAATTCACCTAAGCCTCTGAGGCAAACAGCCTACACAGCAATGGTTTACAATAAGATCCCCTGGGTCACAGAAGATCATAAATGGATGCAGATGTGTGTGTGTGTGTGTGTGTGGAGGGGAGCACTGGGGACAGTCTGAAGTGTGCACAAGTTTGGGAGCCTTCCATAAGAAACACTCAAAACTATGTCGAAATATACAATCCACTATGGAGCCTTGGAAAGAGCTCCTGCAAGCCAGGTATCAAAAGTTTAAGCTTCACAGTTCCCTGGGGCATCTTCCTCTTGGAGGGTTTGTCTGTGGATACCCTAACTGGGACAGTCTGTGTTTCCTGGCATAGGGCCCATCTAGGACCCTGTCCTTACCCCTCCCACAGAGGCAGCAGCTTACCTTCACTCTGTCAAGCTCTTTGGCCTTCACATAGAGGCTGTGGCTGAGGCTCTGCAAATTGAAAATGGGCTGGGGCCATATACTGTCAAGCAGCCGTTTGGAGAAGTTGCTGACATGATACTTCTTGAAATCCCACATCATCAAAATCCGGGCAGGGATGCAGGACTCGACATGGGAGTGGCAGCAGTCACAGAAATACTTCCCCAGGTACTCACAGTACCGGAGTCGCTTCACAAACTCTGCCAAGGACATAGGCGGGTGAGTGTAGCACTTAGTTGATGCTGAAAATCTACCCTGCTCTGCTCCCCATCTCCAGAGCTTACAGAAAATGGAAGGACTCAAAGATTCATTTCATGTTGACTAAAAGTGATGGTTGAGCTTGTCACGGCTAGGAAGGCTCTGGCAGGAACTCAAATGCTGTGCATCCCAGCAAGTATCTGCAAGAGCAGCTTTGTTTTCTTTAAAATGCACATTCAGTCCAGATCTCCACCAAAAATTCAATAGCAGATAGTACAAGAGGTGAGAAAAGATGGGATTTGTGCTCCTCGTATTTTTTTTTTCATTTTGCCGAAATGAATATGTACCGCACTTGGAAACCTCACCAGTAAAAGGTACAGAACTGAATGCAGCTCACACCTGTGCACTCAGCAGCCTGCTCAAGAAAGGAAAGGACTCAGCTGAAGACTTCGTCATGCCCAACTCTCAAGGCTGGGCCCAACAGCACCAGCTATGATATTTATCATTGTTCAGGTGACTTATGTGTCTCTTTATGATTAAAATTTCATGAGGCCTAATAGAAACACTAATTGACACTTAATGTGATAATGCATAAAATACATTATGGAGTCTACATGTGATTTCCAGATAGCGGACTGCTGACAAGGTAGGGACTGCTATCATCTCTATTTCACTGATGAAATCACATTGAAAATGAAGTCAGATAATATGCAGGACATACAGCAGTAAGTAGGCCAGCAGAATCCCATCCAAGCCTGACATTTAACCATCAAATAGCATGGCATGTCTGCTACATTCTGTAAGAGGAAAAGACAGGGCAGCTAACACCTTTGAATATGCCCAAAATATCCCTGCATGTGGTTCAAGTCACAGCCAGCATTGATTTTGTTAAATCACCAATCAATACAATTGATTTTCACTGTCTGCTGTAGTTCTGTTCTGCAAAGGTGTCATGAGCCCTGATGAGCGAACACTGAACCTTTGATCTTGGAGAAAACACAGGGTGAGGGTCCCGCGATCCAATAGTAGTAACATTTTTGTCATCTGATTGATATGTAACCCTACGGTTGGCTGATTCCTAACTTTGAGATCAGGACCAGCACCACTATAACTCATGCCTGAATGATACTTACAGAATATACTCATTTTCTCCATAAGGCACACCACAGGCTATGTGTGCTTAGGAACAAAGGGACAACACTTACTTAGGGGGTGTTTAAAATGTGAAATCACCAACAGAATACACAAAAACTCCCAAAAACCATGTCACAAAATAAATCACACATTCCTGATCAATCTTAGCAAGACAGAAGAGAAAGGAGGGCAGATGGGGCCAATGAACTTCCTAATTTTCCTCAGCACCTAAAACCCTATCATTTCAATATCAGCTTATTCATCACACTTCAATGAATGCATACCAACTCTGAAATCATCAGTATGGAGCGAATTACATCTAGCTCCTTTGATTTTCTAATTCCTTTCATAAAAATAGAACAAAACAAAGACTCCTAAGCTAGTGCCACCCCCATCCCCTGCTATAGGTTATTTTGTCCCTGGAGGCATTTTCAGTTGTCACTGTTGAGAGGCTGCTCCTGGCATCTGGTGATGCTATAAGACATCCTGCAATGTACAGGATATGGCCCAGAGCAAATCAGTAGGACTGAAGTTAACAAAATTCTGCTCTAAGCCACAAGTGTTTTCATCTTATGAAAAGTCAGTGACAAATAGAATAATAATAAAAAAAAAAAACAGGAGGGAAGTGCTCTAGAACAGGGCTAACCCATGAAACTTTCTCTAAGGATGGAAATGTCCTATATCTGGATTGTCCTCAATACTTTAAGTACAGTTAGCATGAGTGAAGAACTAAGTATTTAATTTTGATGTATGCAAATTTAATTTGAAATAACCACATGGACTACTGACTGCCATACTGGGTAGCACAGTTACAGAATAAAGTTCACGCTACAGAAACAATACAAATTGTACTATAGAAGACTTGATTGAAACCTAGTTGGAAAATCAACTAAGTGATTTTCTTAAGATTTATTTATTTTTATCTCAAAGTCAGATATACAGAAAAGAGGAGAGACAGACAGGAAGATCTTGTGCCCGTAGCTTCACTCCCTAAGTGGATGTAACTGAGCTGATCCAAAGCCAGGAGCTTGGAGCTTCCTCCAGATCTCTAAGCAGATGCAGAGTACCAAGGCTTTGGGCCCTCCTCCACTGCTTTCCCAGGGCCACAAACAGAGAGCTGGATGAGAAGTGGGGCTGCTGGGGTTAGAACTGGCACCCATATGAGATCCCAGCAGGTGCAAGGTGAGGACCTTAGCCACTAGGAATCACATCGGGCCCCTAAGTGATATGTTGAACTCAACAAATGAGAATGGAACAGCATCCTGTTGGCAAGATATACACTTAAATAGCAGTATGACGAACTTAGGACTGTTTATGACAGACTATGCTATTGTAATAATATAGGGGAAATCGGGGGGGGGGGTTAGGGAAATCTCAGAGACTATAGAACTGCATCATAAACTAATAATGATAATTTTTAAAACTCCTAAATGGGAAGATGTGATAATTATATTTTATGACATGACAAAGTAGTAAAGGGTAAAATGTTGTGGCAGTGTGTGTGACCATTAGAGGAGAAGAGGCAAATATGACAACTAAGTTAAATGTGGGACTCTGAATTAGATCCTGTAGCAGGTAAATGATATTAGTAAAAAAAACATGGTGAAATAAGAATAAAATCTGTAGTAATACAGTTAACAGGATTACAGCAATACTAGTTCTCAAATGTAACCATTACACTATGTTTATGTAAGATGTTGACGTTAAGGGAAATTGGGTAAGAGGAATTCTCTCGGTACCATTTTTGTAACTATGTATATTTAAAATTATCTCTAAAATGTTTTTTAAATGTTATGCTAAGAGTTAGAGGAAGTTTCCAGGAAAAGCTCAAAATTATTTATGTGGTGAATAATGTCATTCTACCCTCTGTGCTCTGCCTACCTCTGCAACAGGTTTTCGCCTTGCATTTCTACTTTCAAGTCACACAAGGCTTCTTTTCAATTGTCATCAACCCTTTTCACGTGATGAATACACTCTGCTCCTGGAGACAACCATTTCCTTACAAAACCCTTTAGACACAGCCTGGATTCAGTTTGCAGACTGTGAATCCCATAGCACTTTTATCTTTCTCTTTGGTTGCATACATCACCCTTGTCATTTCCTAATGTGGCTAATGTTTGTGTCTCCCTTACACAGTATTCACAGCTGGACTGACTGTACAGATGCTCATCTCTGCGTTTGAACAAACTCAGCACTTGACTCACACATTCAAAGTTTACTGAGGCACCAAGATACAGTTGTTATCCAGCAGACATGGTCCTCACTAGACAAACAGCAGAGGACTCAGAAATACAGTGAGTTACAGCTGTGATGCAGTTGGACTTTATAATGCAATGTGATAGAGGAAGCCCAACTATATTTATGCTCTGGATTTTCATCTCTATAAGTAGAGTTGATCAAAGCCTTTTTCTTCCAAAGTCTGGCTAGCAAAAGCCAGGGAAGCTCTTCCCAACAAAACTCTACTTTCCCATCCTTCTCCAAGTCAGACCTATGGATACCTCCTACAGACTGAGAATCATTGAATCCCAGTTTCTACTTTTGTGTCTGATTGGGAGGACTCTTAAATTTTCAAGACCTCTGTTGACTCAAGAAGGGTTCCATCTGATCACCTCCTCAAACTCTCTGAGAAGTCTGCCAACTCCTAAGTAAGCCATTTATTCATTGAAAAAGTACCTTTGAGAATCAATGATGTAGCAAGAACCCAGCTCACACAAGCTGAGGATCAAATGCTGATCACATCCTGTCTACCTCACAGAAGTGATAATCTGGTAATGGACACAGACAATAATAAGATGTGTTCACAGAATATAGATGAGTGTTTCAGGAAAGAAAGTGTGAGGCATTAAAAAGCAAGAAGTATGAGTAGTGGAAGGGACTGTTTGCAGCAACATGGTTGTTTTCCATTGGGTAGTGGGGAAAGACCCATGACTGGAGTGAAGAGGGGAAGAAAGCAAAAGAAACAGCACTGGAGCCATCTGCAGGGAGAGGAAAACCACAACTGCAAATCCTTGGGTCAGAAGTGAGGCAGCATGTGCCTGCATGGAGGCTGCATGGCTGGATCTGAAAGCCCAATGGGGAGGGAGCTGGCAGCTGGTTTTCTTGGTTCCTGATGGGTCAGTCACATAGCCTTGTAGACCACAATGACCCCTGCATAAGAGACAGGGCATCTTCCAGAAGGTTCTAAGAACCTTGCATCACATGCATCCCACAAAAACTATGCACTGCCCAACTCAATTATTCTTCCCATGACGTGACATGTTAAGCGGGCAACCAGTAGTCCATACTTACTAGGCTCCACTGGAGTACCACAGCCAGCACAGAAGAAATTCTGGGCTGCTACCACCAGGTCCCTCCTAAACCAAGAAAACAACAACAGTGGTTATATTTCAGAGAAGTGAACAGAGCATTTTTTCACATAGAGGAAAAGAAATGGAATGGTGATTTTTTTTTGTCTTAGAGCCTGTATCATGTTTCATTTGTAATAAATGAATAAATAAATAAATACTCCATATAGTTTTCCAGCTGAAATCTCTGGGTCTTTGTGGAACTTTCTACAACTCTGTAAAAATTTGGTATCCCAAGTGGAGGTCAATATTGCAAACAGCTCCTCCACCTCATTGCCCTTGCAGACAGGATCCTCTCTTGAGAAAGAACTAGAGACACATACTACAGGCGAAGACCATTCAGGAAGACCAAAAGATGATGTGATCTAAAAGTCCACAAATATATCCAAAGAAATCAAGTAGAATAAGAGGTAATATCAGACAAAGCAGTCAACAGTTTTGGTGAGGAAAACTCTGCCAAAACGTTTTCTTATTGAAATGCTGTGCCAAGAATTTACACATAGTTTAAAAGCATGAAATGTAAAATTTGGTCACAGTTTAGGGTCAGCAAAAGTGGCCAAGGTGAGAAAAAAAATGCTAAATCTCTGTTCATATACCTTGGACAGCATCTGGGGAAACCCCATGCTAAGGAGAGAACTCCCCCTCAACACATGTCTAGAGAGGGGGCTCTTGGACTCAAGCAGCCCCAGAGACATTTTCTCAAATGAAAAAAAGACAGAAGAATACACATCCATTGGGCTCCTCTCTGGCAAACAGTGAACCTATCTCGCCAGTCCCTCCTTGCAGCTTGCAATGCCAAATTAAACACAAGCCAAGAGGAAATGAAAAGTTGTGTCAGGTCAAAACCTTGCCTATAGCGCTCATCTTATACACTTTAAATATTCATGTACATAATGAACACACTTAGGATGTTTCTACAGTTTCATAGAAAATGATAAAAATATGATGCAAGGAATTTCAATTTTTTTCTATAAAAATAAATCTTTGAGAGAGGAGAAAGAGTTTGAGAAAGAAATCTTTTAGCCATTGATTCATTCCTCAAATGCCCAGATAATCCAGCGATAGGTCAAGAGAAACCCAGGAGTCAGCAAGTCCCTATGGAACTCCAGCCAGGTCTTCCAACTGGACACCAAGGACTCAAATATCTGAGTACTGATGGCCTCTGGGGACATAGATTATCAGAAAGCTGGATCAGAAATAGCTAAGATCTGAACAAGGCACTCCAGTGTGGGGGAGGGCATCCCAAGCTGCAGCTTACCCCACAACACCAAAACACCCATTCTGTACATTTCCCCTTTAATTCAGTTTTCCAGGGTCTCATTTAAAGAATCCTCTTAGTTCAACAAATTAGGCAGATGGCTTTACTCTTTCTAAGTGTATCATCTTCAATGACTTTTGTTATCTCTTAGAGAACAAAAAACATTGTATTTTTATTCTATTACATTTCTTAACCATGCGAGTTGCCCTTAAGGTCAAATTTTCTCTTTTTTCTTAAAAACATATATATTCACCAATTTTTACTTCATGCTGAGTACATTGGAAAATAGTGTTTCCATCTTTTAATGTTATTGTTGATGATTGTTATGTTTCAATGTTAGCCACTTTGCTAAGCCTGTTTAATATTCAATTTTACATAACATTCATACTTAAGGGATACATAATTGTATTCCCAACTGTGAAAATGAATCCCTAAAAGCCCACAAAAAATAAGGTACCGAGAAAGCTTGGCCAGAAAAATATCCCCAGCTTTCCTTTTCCTAAAATAGATTTTCCACATCACTCAGCATTTTGTTGTTGTTGTTGTTGTTTGCGTCTCTTCCTTTTGTTCACTTCCTTAGAGAGTCAGGTGGCATCCACCACAACTTGTTTTGGATGGAGTGGAGGCTCATGCTGGGGCCCATATACTTACTTGACTGATGGATGAACAGTAAGTATGATTTGAAATCTCGGTGGGGCCCAGCCTTCAGTCTCTCTGATCTTAGATTTCAATTTAATTTCTTCTACTATATCCACACTGGCTTCAAAGTCTTGTCGGACGCAATCCTCATTAACCACCTGCACAATACATCAGAGGATTTAGGAACATGTTAAATGAGTACTTTCCAAAAATTTAGGCAAAAGAACATTTAAACATATTTCCCACATGATCATGGACTATGAAAAATGTCAAATGTTTTCAACTGATCTGAAGGGCATGGTAAAGCCAGCTGGAGAACACTCTCCAACACCACCCAGGGGATTGCTTGCCCTAGCGTGCCTCATTCATTTGCTTGCAGACTCCAAACTTACTGCAAATAGGTCCTTTTGAATTAGAATACAAGTTGGCTAGTTTTTATTTGAAAGGTTCACGACCAAAAGTGCCTTAGATTTGTGAGGTTTGTTTGTGTTTTTTTTTTGTTGTTGTTGTTGTTTTACTTTTAGAATATTTGCATAATTTTCCTGGTTGAGCAACCCTAATCCAAAAATCTGAACTCTGAAATGTTCTGAAAGTCACACTGTTTGAATGTATTCCCTGGTACTTTTGTAAACAGCAGAAGCCTCAACCTTCCCAGTCAACAGACTGACAGATGTTTCTGTGGTCAAAGCCACAGCCCCTGTGGTCCCTCTTCCCCAAAGCAGCTCTGTTCAGGACAGTCCCTTGCTTATCAACGTGCATTTCTCTTATTTTCATTTAAAATGTGAACTCCTCAAATTAGCACCCACAACCTCAGGTAATTGGGAACTGCCATTCAAGCCTCACATGCGTGAAGATCAACAACCCCCTCCCAGCTCCACCCCATCACCTCTCTGCACACAGATTCTCACAGTTAATCCAGCTTCAGAGCCATTCTGCCCTCTCTCCACTTACATCCCAGCACCCTTGGCCAAGTGTACCCTTCCCCATACTTCTACCTGCAACAGCATTGCCCATCACAAGAACTGGCTCAAGTCCTGAGATTTCCAATCAGCTTTTCCACATACTGAGTTGAAATCAAGCACTCCCTTCCTTTGCTCTTCCACATCCACAGTGCTTTTTGCATAGCCCCATTTTAGCCTTTTTAACAAGACTCCATGCTTTCAGAGAAGCAGAAAGTCCTGCAAGGGAACTAGCATGTATTTCACATCAGGCAGTCCAGGGCACAATTCCTGCTTTAACCATAGACCAGTTCTGCTGGGAACTTAGGCCAGCCACTTTCAAAAGTGAAAGCACCAGCACCATCCACGTAATAGCATTCATCTGAGGATGAAAATGCAGATTGCTAAACGCAGCCGGGGAACATTATCAGCCACTGATTTCAGGCTAGGTTAGTCATTCAGTCTGAGCCTCCCCCAACACCCCGAAATGGCACAGGAAACCTGTGTCTGAGCTGAATAGGCCAGGTCAAATGAGACTTGAGCAAGTTTAGAGTCAAACTCTTTTAGTACTTACTATGGAGCTGGCTGCATTCAGGGAACTTGTAAGCTGACAGTCAGCCACTGACAGCATCCAGCACTTCCGAAATACTTGGTATAACTCTTTGGCTAACAGTTCAGCAGCATTGAAGTCTGGTTCATAATTGATACTGAAATGTAAGAGATGCAAAAACTGGACACAGAAACTCATGAGAGTATGGCTGAGGTCCTCGTTGGGTTTTCTACTGTTCTTCCCATCTCCTAAATTCAGAAGAGGTCGCAACAGTGTGAGACCGTGCCTTACTCACTCACCAAATATGTTACTCCATGCCCTCCATGCTTACCTTCCACACTCAGCAAACAGAAACGTTACCCATTAAGGATATGAGCAATTGGAGGTATAGTGAAAAGAGCACTGGTTTAGAGTCAGGAGACTTGAGCTCAAGACCTACTTATTGCTCCAACAGTATTGCTATTCAAGGCACATATTCTGCATGCCTCAATTTCTAGGTCTATAAAATGAATGGAGTTTAAACATAAATGTATATATTCACAATGCCGTCCAGTTGATCCATGAGAATTAAGTGAGAACATAAACAAGACATTTGTATACTACAGAACATTGTAGAAGCTTTGGGAGGGATTGTTGATGGAATTGGCTGAACTTGGCCCAGGTGTCATGGGTGCAATGCTCACAAGGCCCAGGCATCTATGCACTTGGAAGACAGATACCTCCTAGTGGAATTGCAGGAACATCTACAGGTCTCTATGATGTCATTAAGCTCTCCAAGTTCTGTGGGAAGATAAAATAAAGAGTAATGAGGTCCTTTAGTCTGTTTCACTTAGTCACTATCCATTTTGGAACAGCTCCCCACTCCCCAAAAAGAACCAATGATTCAGCATCTTCATGTTCCACTTGGGGTGATGGTGGGGAGGGCAGTGGGATGGAGGGAGGTTGTCTGAGACTACAGATTGAACAAAGATGGGATTGCACCTAAAACTTCGCCAAAACTTAATTCACAGGCTAAACAGATATCAGAAGATAAATGAATATTTGGTTTTTCATTCAGTTCTACAAGTGAGATAAAAGTTTAGCTAACAAGACATTTGAAATAAGAAGAGAACCTGGTGCTGTAACCTAGCAGCTAACGTCCTCGCCTTGCACACGCAGGAACCCATGTGGATACCAGTTCTAGTCCCGGTGGCCCTGCTTCCCATCCAGCTCCCCACTTGTGACCTGGGAAAACAGTGCAGGGTGACGCAAAGCCTTGAGACCCTGCACCAACATGGAAGATCTGGAAGAAGCCCCTGATTCTTGGCTTTGGATTGGCTCAGCTCCAGCCACTGTAGTCACTTTGGGAGTGAACTAGCGGATAGAAGATCTTTCTCTGTCTCTCCTCTGTATAGCTGACTTTCCAATAACAAATAAACAAATCTTTAAAAAAAATCTACCTTCTAAGAAAAAGGTCTGAAATAAGAATAATATCTTATAATTTTTTATCAGGGGCCTATTCTGCTCTTAGGAGAAGATTCTTCCTGTGTGACACGCATCCAAATCTCACCTAAAATCACAAAGTCATCGAAGTCACATTTGCAGGCCTCCTTCACCACGTCAGAGAAGGCAGGTGTTTCAGTTATTGCCCTGGCTTGTATTATAGCACAGCCTGGAAAAAATGGAGAAAGGAATGTTCACTAACAAGAAGGAAAGACCCTACCTACCCAACACCAATGAAGCCAGAGAACGGAAAGAACTGAGAAATCACTCTAAAAAAAATTCTAGAGTTCAGCTTCAAGAATTTTAAAAACCAAAATGCAGGAAGGTGTTTTCATCTTCTAACCTCCTCGGTGACTAAGTGAAACAGATTGATGAATATCTAAATCATAATACAAGTCTATCTACCTACTTTTAGGTAGATATTTAAAATTTTCATTAACTGTTTTTAAGAATCAAAAAGGGATAAAAAAAAAAACAACTTTAGTTTCACTGGAAATCAAGGAGTAGGAAGAAGCATAAATATTCCAAGGAAATGAATAGTATCAGCCCATGTGAGCCCAAGAACCTATGACTATGTGCTATTACGGAAATAAATTCATTGCAGTATAAATATGGAAAACCAGCCTCTAGTTTTGAGTTTTGTTATGTTGTTTTGGAAGGAAGAGGATTGTGAGGGAGTGATGGAGAGATGATAATTCAGATATGCTATGTTAAGAGGGCAATAGTACCTGTTGGAGGTTGCAGATATGACTGCCTCAGCAAAGAGAAGAAATGGAGAAAAGAAGTGTTTTTAAGCACCTCAAATTACAAGTCCTGGGGTCTAACCTATGGTTGAGCTCCACAGGTCCAGGCCATACAAATCAAACCCTGAGAAGAGAGGTGTGGGTCCACAAACAGACTGGGTTAGCATCAACAGTCAGGGAATGACTGAACCTGTACAGTGAATAAAATTGCCCAGGAGGCAACTACAGCACTGAAGGCAGGACTCCCATTCAGCCAAAGTAAGAATGCAGCAAACTCTAACATGAGTGGTCAATGTAAGAAATTGTAAATGTAAGTTCATCCTTAAGGAGGAACTCCCAGTCTCTGAATAAGCCAAGCTGCTCCCACTGGTGTCCATTGTCCTGGGCCCTTGTCTGGGAGTCCCCGCTCATTGCCTCCTGCACAGAAGATCCTGAAAGGAGGGAACCCATCCTGTGCTCTGCTCCCACCCAGCACCCAGCATCCAACACAACACAGGCTCAGTGCTGCAGGAATGGAAGAGAACTACTTGGAAAAGGAAAGACTGTGAGAAGAGCTAGGAAACTGCTGTGTGTCTAAAAATGAGGGAAGAGGAAAGCCATCTGCTGTAGCTGCAAACAAGAGACATAAAAGAAAGATAAAAATCCAGTCAAAACCAAAACAAAGCATAGAATTGTACAACTGGATGGAACATAACCATTCCCCCAGAAATGGTGGATTTACTGAAAAAGCTTTAGAGAGTGAGGATGTAGCACATTGGTTAAGACACCTACAGTCCATATTAGGGGCCCTGGGTTCAATTTGGGGTTGCAGCTGCTGACTTCAGCTTCCTGCTAATATACACCCTGGGAGACAACAAGTGATGGCCAAGGCATTGGCTTTCTGTCACCCACATGGGAGAGCAAGCACTTCAGCTGAGTTCTACGCTCTTCTCTTCAGCCTTAGTCCTACCCTAGCTGTCACAGGCATCTGGGGAAGGAATATGTAGATGGAAAAGCTGTTTTTCCTGTTTCTTTGTCTCTCTCCCCACTCCACCTCTCAAACACATAGAGATTAAACTAAAAAGAAGTTTTGGTCAAAGTATTTAAATGCTTGCCTTCATAGTCACTGTCTGAAGAAGCGGAAGACCCAGATTCTTGCTTCGTGTCAGGAAATGTTGCTTCAGAGTTAGCCCGACTGTGCTCAGAGGATGTGCCGGCCTCCTCTCCATCCCAGCCCTCTGCTTGCTGTTGGCCCAGGATATTACACTTCACCTTTTCCATGGCTGATATAATCGCATCGGCAACATAAAAGTGGGCATTTTCCTGCAAGGAAAAAGATAATCAAAGAAAATACCAGCATTATCAATCAACTTTTTTTTGTCATTGAAAATACATTAGATTTGAACAATCAAGAAGCACTCTCCTCCAAAGTTTGGGTGCAATGATATAGTGCATGTAATCATAAGTGCTCATGTAATAGAACTTTGATGCAAAAGTATGAGATCCTTCCCAAAAAAGTTCACGGAAAAGGAAACTAGAAGATAAGTTTATATTGGTTTAAAAATGAACTTGAAATCCATGAGTAGCTTTTTCAGAATATATATTTTCCCTGAGCTTTTGGATAACGACTTGTACGTCACTCTGATTCGCATCCCACATCATCCAGAGAAATATATTTAGCCACTGTAACCAACAGACAATCCAGGTGGAATTTCTGGTGACAGAAATCCCTCATTCATCACTCACGGGACTTTTCAGCTTAGTTCAGACCCCACCTTGGAACCCCTCTCAATTCCTGTGCCTGGCAGCCCCTATAAATCAGAAGCTGAAATGAAACCTATCTGGCATGCCTCAGCAAGGTGAAATTTTCAGAGTTAAGTCCGAACAGCATTATCTAGGGAGTTAAGATTCTATTGGTAAGACAAAACAAAAAAATGACAGCAGTTACCTTTTCTACATCAACAGGGAGCATGAATGCCTCTGGTGAGAAGGAATTCAAAGAAGCAGTTCTTCGAGTAACTTGAACATCACCTGCCAATACAGCAAGTTATTAAAAATGGAGAAAGGGAAGAATGAAGAGTATCTAAGCAAACAAAGCCATTCTAGAGGGCAGCTTTTAAGCACTAATTAAAAAAAAAAAAAAAAAGAACAACCTGGCAGAATTCTAGAATAAAGTATGATTTAAAAAAAAAAAAAGAAAAGCCCTTGTGATGGTAGGCCTTAATGATGACTATTTCTCAGAGCTGCTGTGGAGTAATGGACAAAACCACTGGGATGCAAGAGAACCATGAAGAAAATAGTTTAGAAAGAGAAGAGGATGATGAGGAAAACTCTAGGAAATGGGAAAAGTGAGAACCACAGCCCAGGGCAGGACCCTAAGCATCACTGCCAGAGCTCCCTGGCAATAGAAACAAAGTCCATCAGAAAAAGGTCTGTACTGCTTCTCTAAAATAATCCTCCTCCAGTCAAAATCCAAAAACCGCAGAAGGTATATCCTACCAATTTCCTATTTTCTTACACCCTTCAACCACTCCACAATTGGTAATGACTACCATCAAAACAAGCCTTATTTTTGTCACGTGGTTTTGTTTTGCAGATTTTCTTCAAGATTTATTTATTTTTATTGGAAACTTGGATATACAGAGAAAAGGAGAGAAAGAGAGGGAGTCCTTCCTGATTCACTCCGCAGATTCACTCCCCAAATGGCCGCAACGGCCAGAGCTGAGCCAATCCAAAGCCAGGAGCCAGGAGCTTCTGGATCTCCCAGGTGGGTGCAGGGTCCCAATGCTTTGGGCCATGATTGACTGCTTTCCCAGGCCACAGGCAGGGAGCTGGATGGGAAGCAGGGCAGCCAGGATAGGAACAGGTGCCCATACGGGATCCCAGGCGTGTAAGGCTAGGACTTTAGCTGCCAGGCTACCATGCTGGGTCCTGTTTTGCAGATTTTAAAGCAAAAGTATCCATGGCCACAAGAGCTCCTTTGGCTCAGTCTACCAAATTAGAACACAATGTCCTGGGACTAACCCAGTGGCATATCATGCTAATTCTTAACCTGCAGCACCAGCATTCCCTGTGGCCCGGCTACTTCACTTCTAGTCCAGCTCCCTGCTAATGGCCTGGGAAGGCAGCAGAGGATGGTTGAATTCCTTGGGCCATTTTACCACATGGGAGACCTGGAAGAAGCTCCTGGATCCCAGCTTCAGATCAGCTCAATTCTACTCATTGTGCCCATCTGGAAAGTCAACCAGCAAATGGAAAATATTTCCGTCCTTTCCTCTCCCTTTCTCTCTCTGTAACTCTCACTTCCAAGTAAAATAAACAAGTCTTAAATAATAAATAACACAATGCTCCAAATGCCTGTTTTCCCCACATAACTCCCAGAACGGTAACAAAGGAGCAAGCAGCCTCACTCAAGTCCCTTGCTTCACATTCAAGAAAGCAGCTGCGGCATGGAACACTCCAGGCCTCATAGCCTCAGAAGCCAAAAGGAGCTGGTCAGACTTTCTCTGCAAACAATGAGGAAGCAGATATAGTAGAACTTGAAGGTCACCCAATATCTGTTACAACTACACTATTCTGCCACTATAGTGACAAAGCAACTAGAGGCCACATAAAACTCTGTTGATAGGACTAGGATGCAGGCAGGAGTTTGTTCATAGATCATACTTCGTGGCTCCTGAACTTATCAGAAAATCACAGGAAAAAATAAGAGTGGATTGCAGTTCCAGCTCTCTACTGACTAGCTGTGCTTCTGTGTGAAAACATTCTCATCTCTCAAAGCAGGGTAATTGTCTACCCAACATCAAAAGAATTCGGGATGTGAAAGTGCTTTGCAGATGTGCAAATGGACGAAACTGCAAAGCTGTTTCCTAGAGCCTGAGGAAATGGTCACAGCCTCATGTGATCTTTTTCCCATCATATTTTCTAGGCAAGGAACCCTCTGCTGCTGCCATTTGAAATGCACTGGAAGCATCGCACAATCCATGTACTGCTGTTCTGTGCCTCTCCTCCCCATCACTGCCTCACTCCAAAGAAAGAAGGAATCAGGTCACTTGGGACTTCTCTTTTTTAATCCCATGGGCTCATCCCCTTACTAAACCTAAGAGATACTCTCAGAACACCGAACAGTGGTGGGAGGCCCACAGAAGGATTTCTGGGAGTCCCTGTATTGGGACAAAGGACTTAAAATCCTTGTTTTCTTTTTGGGAGAAAGGCAAAGGCATAGGCGAATGTTAGGGTGCAGAACTACTTTCAGCCTGGGGATCAACTCATCATTGGCAGCAGGGGCAGACAAGGCTGCAAAGATCTTAGGACAGTGAGTTTAGAACTTGACACTGTGGTGGTAGTTTGTAGGGAGGGGAAAAGGAGGACATGATCCAACGATTGACCAAGTCCTTCTCAATCGCTAACTTGCAAGGCACTCTTGATCCTGAGAACTAACCAGGAATGTTAGTGAAAAGATAGGACAAGAAAGCCAGTAAGGAGGCCTTCTTATGCTTTGTTCAAATTTGGTTCTTCTACTTCAAATTTAGCCCATCGAGTTTACCTCCCACCCCCCCAAAAAACCTGTTACTGACAAGGTGCTAAATATTTTTATGCTCTGATTTTTCAAATTGTTCCAATGTTGAAAATAAATGCCAGATTTTGGACATAATAAATACTAAAACATGCCACAAAAAAGAAAACCAGCTAATGAATGCACTCCTGAGTGGCACTCTGCATGCATTATCTTATTTTAGGAATTTTCATATTTTAGGAATATGGACATTACCTTAAAACAATGATAACACTTGCTTTTATAAAAAGAGATTATATGCAGTTATTGAGGGAAGCACAAGTGCTGTTTGTAAACCTTTTCTCATCATGCTCTGCTTAGGCATACATAAAAGGTGAGGCAAGTTCACTGCCCAGGCAGGTACAGGTGTACACTGGAACCCCTTCCAAGTATCTGGACATAACTTCCACAACTGAGATTAGTCCAGATAGTCCAGCTTTGCAGACAGTCCAACAACAGACTGTAGGTTATTAAAGGCAAATATCACATTATCAGTGGCATAAGGCATTGCTTTACAACTTCATTGATTTTTTTTAAATGACATTTCTACAGTCTAATGATACAGCATATACTTGGCTTCACCTGCTGTATCTATCCATGTTTCTGAGATGATGACAATAAGTGAGCTAGTGCAGAGACTTTTGATCAGAGATCTGTGAATTTTCTTTATTGGGGAAGACCCTAAGGTGGGCTTCTGATGGAGGGAAAGTGGACAGAAATGAGGAAAGACCCGGAGGAAGGACAACTACCCCAGCCAAATGAAGACAGCAAATATCTGGGCAAATGGCGACTACGTCAGCCAATGGACATTGAAAATGCTCCCTCATTCTTGGATCAGTGAGATCAACAACATTTTACAACTACTGAAACCACCTAGGCAGAACCCTCGGCATGTGCACCACACATTGTCACCCTGGGTTGATACCGGGTGGCCATTCTGCATCCCTGGGTACTGGGTGACTTGGAGGCTGAATATGGCTCCTCCCTCTCCTCCTCCCCACCAGCCAAAACAGGAAGGATATCTGGAAACAATCATCATACTCACTTTTCCCTAATCCTTGATCCACCCGATCCACCCCACTCTGATCAACTACATGAACCTCATCTAAAATTTTAAAAAAATTTTTTAATTAAAACAATTAAAAAGAAATGAGGGAAGTCACGGAGAAAACACTACCTCGATCAGCAGCCTCTGGCAGATGGGAGGGCTCCAGAAAAGCACCACCAACCTCAGAACACCTGCTCCAGCCCAAACACCTGGAGCTAGCGAGGAGAGACATATGACGAGAACATCCAGTTGAGGTCAAGGAGAAGTCATTGTTCTTTTCGCCTGAGCCTTGGGCAGACACCCCACCCACACAGTCTGCAGTGTCCTCACACAACTCTGTCTCTCCAGAAGAGTCCCTGAGGAAGGGTGGAGAAGGGCTCAAGGGAGGGGTGGCATCTGCCACCGACATGTTTGCATTGTCCCCCACTGTTGGCATCCGGGAAGGCAAGTCCTGCAGCGGCAGCAGGGGCTGCACACACGGGGGGTTAATCCAGGCAGCTTTGTGCCTCCTGAGCCGGACATCTAATTGGCAGTGGGGGCGTTCAGTGTCCAGGAGGCAGAAGGAGTCAATGGCATCACTGGAGTCACTGCCGATCCCTTCCCAGGAGTTCATAGGGGACTCCTGCTGGCCTGATGACTGTGACACCATCCTTCCAGGCTCAGGGCAGCTGTGAGACCATTCACAAATGACAGGAGACGTTCTCTGGTGGTTGTAGCACTGCTTGATGAGGGACTTGAACCAGCCACATGGCCAGTCAGAGGTCTGAAGGAATTATCTGCAATGAGCAAAAGTCATCTGAGATGAATAATGTGTACTAGGGGATAACAAGATAGGAATATGAAGCTCTGCGATTCTATTGCACAGCAGGATGACTACAGACATTGGTAACACACTTCATATTTCTCTGTACAATAAAAACAGGATTTTGGATATTTTCATCACAAAGAAATGTCAGATATTAAAAAATAGATATATTTACCCTAATTGGACATTACACAATTTATACATGTACTGAAACATCTCACAGTACCCCATACTTACTTACATACATACATAAATACAAGTTTTATATATTTCTGTTAATAAATATTTTATACCATTAAAAAAAAGTGAGGAGGCAGCACTGTGGTCCAGTAGGGTAAGCTTCCACCTGAGGCACCAGTTCGAATCCCAACTGTTTCATTTCTGATCCAGTTCCCTGCTAACATTCCTAGGAAAGCAGCAGGAGATGGGTCAAGCTCCTGACCCCTGTACACATATGAGAGGCCAGATGAAGCTCCTGGCTCTTGGCTTCCAACCAGCCCAGCTCCAGCCCTTGCAGCCATTTAAGGAGTGAACAAGCAGATGAAAGATCTTTTTCACTGTTTGTGTGTCTCTGTCTCCTCCCCTCCCCCATACACTGCATCTGTCTCTAACTCTGCATTTCAAATGAAAACAAATAAATAAATCTTTAAGAAAAGAAAGGAAAGAAGTATTTGACATGATTGCTAAATTATCGCTTGCTACATCTTCATCCCTTATTGGAATACTTGCTTTGAGTCCAGGTTCCTCCATGTCGAATCAAGTTCCTTGATAATGTATACCTTGGGAGGAGCAGGTGACAGCTCAACTACCTGGGTTCTTACTGCCCAAATAAGAGATGCAGATATGTTCCTGATTCATGGCATTAGCCTGACCCAGCCCTGGCTATCGCAGGAATTTGGGGAATCAACAGATGAGAGATACTTCCCTGTCTGCCCCTCTGTTATCATTTCAAACCAAACAAAGAATAAACATACAATTTTTTAAGAAACATAGAGAACAGGACATTCATATTTTAGACAAAAGTCAATCATATTTTAGACAATAAATTCCAGTTGGTTTATGAGTCAAAATAACTAAATAAACCAACTACCAAAATCAGTAGGTTATCTAGCGGGTCTGACATTGGATTAGGAAACATTTTTCAAAGCACCAAAGTAATTGAAGATGCCACAGAGAATCACAGATGAACCACTAACTCACACACAACGAAGAACATCCAAACATCAAAGCCATTCCAACAAATTGACATGTGCAGTCCAAAGATACTCTTTTGTGTTTTTAAAATTCTTACTTAAATTCTTACTTAATTTTGGTATTTTACAAAAAAGGCAAGTGGCTTGTAACAGTGAGGGAGGATGACCAGTAACACTGTGCTTTGTGTAACTTACATTAGTTTATGGGCATACTTATATGGTAATCTCAATATCAACATATTATTAGTTTAGAATATTTAAGAATACACTGGGGATCCCGGGTGCTCCACAGGAGCCGCAAGCAGCTTCGGAGGCCCCGTTAGGGGTCCTTTTGCCCCCGCCTAGCTGGTGGTGGCAGAAGTGGCTCCATCGGGGCCTGTAGAGGTCACCTGACTCCCGTGTGTACTGCGGCAGCTGCGGGAGGTTTCAGAGACCCTGCCAAGGGTACTTTTGCCCCTGCCCAGATGGCAGTGGCAGAAGTGGCTCCATACTGGGCAGCCCATGCATCAACGGTTCTGGGTAAAGCACTCGGACCTCCCAGCAGTGACATGCTCTAGGGACTTGGGCATGTAGGCTTAAATGGGGTATGGGTTATGGCACAAGTGAAGCTGAGCGGGACCTCAGGGTTCACGTCTAGGAGAGAATGACTACTGTTTGACATCAATGGACAAGGCCATTGTATCTTCAGTTAAGTGACAGTGCTGAGTCCGAGTGATTTGGAGAGGGTAATGGGAAGACATTCAAAGGTCAGGCTGAGGCTCCAGCACACGTGGGGGACCTGAGCTCAGTAGCTAGCATCAACCATCACCAAGTACCATACACTGGCACACACTAAATCTAAGGAAGGCTAGGCCTACCAGACAGGACTAGATCATAGTAACTACCAGTGAGGGTCAGATCAGGGGAAGGGTGAAGTTATGATGGGCCAAGATAATAATTAGTACGTGAGAGAATCGGATCTTGTGGCAGAATCTTGGGCGGGGGGAATAAGTGGCTTCACCCCTGTGGAACTGCAATCTCTGGCATGCCCGAAAACTGTGGATAGGAACAGGCCTGGCTGAGGACAGCAAAAATCAGAGTGAATACAGACTTGAGGTCGGCTATATCAGTAAATTGACACTGGGAAGGTTGCCTTACCTTTGAATTGTCAAAACAGAAAGCATTTCAGAACTAGCCAAACCACTTGGTCAGAACCCTCAGAACATGCACTAAATCAGAAAGCTGGGTTGATATTGGGTGGCAGTTCTCTATCCCTGACTACTGAAACATTTGGGAGGCTGTGTGTGGCTTCCACCTTTATCTCTCCCCTTTCTCTAGAAACAAGCAGAAATAGAGAATTTGGAAACAATGATTTCACCCACTTTTCCCTAACCCTTAATCCTTTCCATACTAGTTACCAATGTAATCATTATCAAAAATAAACATTTTTATATATATAAAAATATATATAGTGTGTGTGTGTGTGTGTGAATCTTGAATCATGCTTAAAACGGTTCACTCAGACTCTATAAGAATTTTTTCTTTTATTTATCTATCTATTTGAGGCGACAACCAGAAAAGAGAACTTGCATTCACTGAGTCTCTTCTGAAATGCCCACAGTGCCTGGGATGAAGCCAGGGCTGACTCCAGCAGCCAGGAATCCAGTGCAAGTCTCTGACATGAGTGTCAGGGAGCCAACTACAGGAGCCATCACCTGGTTCCTCTGCAGGGTCTGACAGCAAGCTGGAATGAGGAGCAGACTTCGACTTAGGTATACCCATAGTGGGTACAGTCATCTTAACCAGTGTCTTAACTGATAGACTGAATATCCAACCCCCATTCACTCTCTTTTAGGCTCAGTTTTTAGCTTTAGTAAGAAAGGTGATGGTTAAAATGTCAACTGTTATTCAAATGAGAAACCCTCTTGTCATTAAAATTACAGCTTCAGTAAATATTTCCTTTTACTGCTCTCCCACCCTTTCTAGAACAAAAGAGCAATTTTCACAAGCAAGGGTGTCTATCAAGGGAAAATCCAGAAATAGGGCCTGGTCGGTGGCCTAGCAGCTAAAATCCTTGCCTTAAACGCGCTGAGATCCCATATGGTCGCCGATTCTAATCCCGGCAGCCCTGCTTCCCACCCAGCTCCCTGCTTGTGTCCTGGGAATGCAGTCGAGGACTTCCCAAAGCCTTGGGACCCTGCACCCGCAGGGGAGACCCAGAACAGCTCCTGGCTCCTGGCTTTGGATTGGCACAGTTCTGGCCATTATGGCCACTTGGGGAATAAGTCATCGGATGGAAGATCTTTCTCTCTGTCTCTCCTTCTCTCTAGATATCTGACTTTGCAATAAAAATAAAATAAATCTTAAAAAAAAAAAAGAAATCCAGAAATAAAAGCTACCTATCTAGGGAGGTTTAGCCAATTATGAATAATTTCACAGCATGTGCATAGTGCTGAATATGAGACTCTAGAATCCATTCCAGAACCTTATACCATCACTATGTGGGTAGACAATTCCCAAATGCCTATCTTGATATCTGACCTCCCCCTAGATTCCAGGATAGCATAATCTTGTTGCCTATTTGACACCTAAGAACATTTTAACCTGAAACAGAAAGGAGCCTGATTTCCTCCCAAACCAGCTCCTCTGGCATTTTCTCCCTTCTTCAGAAACAACACTATGTAGAACTAGCAGCAAATCCATGGCTTTAGCTGCTTCCCTAGTTTAGTACCACCTTCTCCCTCCTGGACACCCAGTCATGCCTTCTCAGTAGGCAGCCCTGCCTCCACAATCAACAGGCATCTCAGATCTTTTCTAAAACCTAACTCCCATCACACCATTTCCCTAATGGTTGCAATCTTCTCCAGGGACTTCTCTCCAAACTCCTTACCTCATCCTTGGGCCTGACGGGGTTCTGTCCCTGCAGACCTCTGAGCTTCATTCTCTTTCAGCTTCTCTGAGCCTCAGCCACACAGCCAGCTCTGCAGCCCAGGAAGAACCCTCGCATCCTGGAAGTATTGTTCTAGATTCCTGCTGATTGATTGAACTGCTCTTGCCCAAAATGGGCATCCATATGATCCCTTCTTGTCGTATGTACCTCGGTTTATGTATTACTTCCTCAAACAACTCTTTCCTAATGACCCCTCTTAACGTAGTTCCCCACTCACTCTCCATCACATTACCCTGTTCAGTTCTTATCACAACAGGGCTCACTTCCTGAAATATCAGTCCGCCCCACCCTAACATGACCATAAGCTCCCTAAGAGCAGTGGCCTTGTTGGTTCTCTGTGATGCTGCATCCTCTCCCCATATTACAGTGCATATGAAAGCTCAGCCAATGTCTATGAGCAAATTCAACAAAGTGCACATCAAGTGAAGAGCTACATCATGGTGAAACTCTGCTACAATGCCAGAACCCCAAAATGGTATTGGTTCATGTCCCAGCTGCTCCACTTCCAATCCAGTCCCCTGCTGACAACCTTGGAAAAGCAGAAGATAATTCAAGTATTTGGGTCCCTGTGCCTACAGGGGAGACTCAGATGAGGCTCCTAGCTTCAGTCTGACCCAGCCCTGGCTGTTGTAGCCATTTGGGGAGTAAATCCAATTTCTATAATAGATATAGTTGATTTATTACTAGGCCAGAATTATTCATACAGGCATAGATGTAATCTCATGTTTTCTAAAATTAGGAAATTTCTCAGAGCTGGCACCGTGGCATAGTAAATTAACCTTCCATCTGCAACACCAGTATCCCATATGGTTGTGGGTTTGTGTCCCAGCTGTTCCACGTCCAATCCAGCTCCCTGCTTATGACCTGAGAAAGCAGAAGACAGTTTAAATGGTTCAAGTCCTTGGACCTGCAGTCATGTGGGGTACCCAGAAGAAGCTCCTATTCCTGGCTTCAAAAGAGTTCAGCTCCAGCCACTGTAGCCATTTGGGATGCCAAACAGCAAATACAGGATATATATCTCTCGCTGTAAATGGCCTTTCAAAAAGTAATAAAATAAATATTTCTTTTAAATACAATTTCTCACCCAGTGGTTATAAGGAAAACTTAACAATTTCAAATAAACTCCAAAAAACCATATAGAAAAACTGTTTAAAAGTCCATGAATTTTCTTGATTTGGAAGCCCTCTCTCCTAGGTCACCTTTTTAGAGTGATACAGATGAAGATTATATGAACTGTCATACACCACAAAACAACATTTGGGACAATGGCAGGTCCTTCTTACACCAGAGGCCCCATAAGATGATAATTGCCTAGTGCCACAACCATTTAAGTTTGTGTAACACTTCCTGATGTTCGCGTAATGAGGAAATTGCCTAATGACTTCTTTTTCAAAGTATATTCCCATCATTGAACAATAGATGACTCTGTATGAGTATATATGCATACATCAGAGGGGTGTTTGGCAATTAAAATTCTTTCTTCCCATATTGCAGTGTCTGGGTTTGGACCAGATTCCAGCTTCTTGCTAATGCAAGCCCTGGGAGACACTGGGTGATTGCTCCACTCACTATTTGGGGGCCTGCCCTCCATGTGGGAGACCTGCACTGAGTTCCCTGTTTCCAGTTTTGACCTGACCCAAGCTCAGCCATTGTTGACATTTGCAGAATGAACCAGCAAATGGGAGATCTATCTAGCTGTCTCTCTTTCTTTCTGATCCTCAAATTTTCAAAAACATTTTTTAAAAGTTGTGGACCAATCAAATGGAGATAAAACTTACTTGGGGAGAAAAACAAACTTTGATTTCTATGGGTAGTTTATTTTCATAATATTTTCCATTAAATTTTTGAAGACCTCTCATGGTATGTGTATGTGCATGTGCAAACACACATACATCCACTCATATGTATGTATAAATACAAGCCCCAAATCACAACTCACAAAATATCACAGGATATACCTATGTCAACTGCCCTCAAAGTATTTCTTCCTCCTGCTGACCTCCAAGACCCTCTTGGTGGCATATCTTTTCCTCTCTGATAATTTTGAATTTTATAACCAAAAAATGAAACAATGACCATGATTTTTATAAAATGCCCCTAAACACAGAAGCCTGGAATAACAATTCAGTTTTTTTGAGTGTTCCCATCACACTAAATCTCACCAAATACAAATTCAATCTCAAAATGACACTGGCAACCTTATTATTACTTCCAGACCTTGTCCATCCATATGTCAGGTCAGAAGACATAACTTGCTTTCTTTTTAATAGACATACATGGAATTGGGCTGGACACACTCCATAGCTCCACATTACTCAAAACAGTGTGCCCTGATGATATTTCTCATTCTTCTTACCTATTTCTTTTTGTCAATGTTTTTATTACTTATTTCTTTTTGAAAGGCAGAGGTAGTGATACAGTTCTTCCCTCTTCTGATTCACTCCCCAAATGCCCACGACAACCAGGGCTAGGCCAGGTATAGGGCAGCATCCTAGAACCCCATCCAAGCCTTATGTTTTGGGTGGAATTGGGAGTGGAGTCAAACTCAGATGCAGGCACTCACACAGAAAATGGGCATTCCAAGCAGTATCTTATCTGCTATACCAAACACCTCTCTTCTTGAAAATTTCTATAGTACAAATACATCCTAACTTACTTAGCCAGACTCTAGTGATGAGAAATATTTCCAACTTTTCAGTTTTACAGAATGTACATCAATGAACACTCTTGTTCATGGTCTTTTTTTTCTTTTGGTTGTCTTTCTTTTACTAGTTTCTTTCTCTTAATAGATCCAACCTTAATCTTAGTCCATAGTTCATGATAAACTCATTATTTCCAGAGAACAAAGTTGTGTGTGTGTGTGTGTGTGTGTGTGTGTGTGTGTGTATACAGTGGGGGAAGATGTTTATAGATAGAAAATAAGTACTCTCAAACAATAAATGTGATCCCAGTGTTTTTTATAAACAGATTAAAACTAACAGTTGAAAGAGAGTCATATAATTTGTGACCTAAGTACATGGAGAAATAACAGACTTCTTCATAAAAAGCAGCTTTTAGAAGCAGGTGGTTTTCCCACTTCCTTCTGGAAAGGTATGGCTGCTTCATAGAGTAACCAACAGTTACCAAGTTACAGAAGCACATTTCCGAGCTGGAATAGAACCCTAGACATTTCAGGCTGTGCCTGAGGCCACAACTGTCCCAGTGACTAAAAAGAAAACGTCAAGATGAGTGTTCCTCAGGGAGCATGAGTGTCTGACATGTGGAAAAATACAGAGGAAACACCCTAATGAAGTTCACAGCTTCTTTTTTTTATAACTTTGTAATGCAAGCACTAATAGACCAGGTCCCATCCTAGAATTGCTGAGTATGTAGCTTTTGGCCATGTCACTGTCAGTTATTCAACTGAAAGTACTTGTTGAGCTTCTGTTACATGCCTGGCATTGCTTATGCTTGGAAACACTGGGGGTAACATAAGAGTGGTGACTAAAATAAGCGTATTTTCTCAGGGAAAAGGAATAGACATCCACATTCATACATTTCAGGCACTGAAAGAAAGTAATATGGATATAAGCAATGTTTAGCATGTTTTTAAAACACTTTGTACTGTCATAATTAAGGTTCTTTGCAAAGAACGCTTGAGTACAAGATAAAGTTGATTTCCTATTGAGATTTTCCTACTGGGGTCAATGGTAAGTACAGGCCAGGTTAATTGCTAATACATATGTGGCAGCAAATTTTCAGACAAAGGAAAGATGCTGAACCACTCCCTTCCAGCCTAGTCATTTGAACAGTTAGCGCCCTCAACCCCTAGGGAGTGACAGAAGCCCTACAACCACCACATAACCTCTGCAGCCTCTGCCCAGGTGCTCCTTTTGCAAGAAGGACCAATGTTTCAATTGGATAGCAGCCACCATGACCTCATCGTGACCCCACACAAGTCCTGCAGACTACAAGTGGCCAGCACTTGGATGGCAGAGCAACCTTAGCTCCTAATAGGTCTAGCAGTCTTAAAAGCACTCTATGAACAGGCACAAGGAAATCAGATTTGGGGTTTAGGTCTGTCTCTACCTGCACTACTACTCACTTGGCACACAACTGGTAGCATCAGAATAGAGACTCATCTTCAATATTTCCTTTCTAGGGAGGCTTCCTGGGTCACCTTATAAACAAGGGCAATCACCCAAGCAGCCTCCCAGCTCCAGCTCTGCCCTTCTCACCAACCTCCATTTTATTTAACTTCAATGACTATAAGAATGCTAAAAATCTATGTAAGCAACATTTTAAAGAATGTATTTAAGATTCTGCTTTGTTCCCAGACCTAGCACTCTTTCAGTAACAGGGATTGAGTGAGTATATTTTCTGGGTATATAAATGAAAGAACAAACAAACTAAGAGTACCCAGGTAGAGATATGTTGGCTACTTATTTGTGTTACCCAAGAAAAGAATTCAGGAATAGATGTCATTTTTTTAGAAGCAATTAGAGACCACAAACTAAAACGTCTACAAAGCATTTACTTACAATAAACATTATCAGGGGATAGAAATCACAGTCAAGATGCTGAGCATGAAAGGTAAAATTCATGTGTATCATTTTGTAGTATGTTAATAACACCCAGTGAACAGAGAATGAGCAATTCTTGATCCATAGCCTGTGAGTTGGTTGATTGTCATGGCTGTCCACAACCTCTCCCATCTCTCTCTGTATCTACTTCCCTTCACAGTTTGACTTTAAGCAAAGATTCACATCCCCAAGGATGCCCACAAATGCTAAAACCATCACCTACCTAACATAAACCAGGAAGATGACTAACAATGTGACTCTTCAGCATCCACAATTGCAGCACAAATCAGTGTGAACTATGATTTTCATTGGGCAGCACCTGCACTGCAACATGTGCTGAACACCAGTTGCAACAAAAACAGCAGGAAGGAAGTGATGACAGATTGCAGTGGAGCCAGTGGGATGGAGGTGGGGTTGGTCTTGTAGCCTCCTCTCTAGGTGAGTTAGCCTTTATCAGAGACCCTGAACTTTTCTTTTGTAAGCTTTATTTATTTTTTGAAAATTCAATATACAGAGAGAAGGAGAGACAAAAAAGAATATCATCTGTCCAATGATTCATTCCACAAGTGGCCACAGTGGCCGGAACTGCGCCGATCTGAAGCCAGGAGCCAGGAGCTTCTAGGTCTCCCACGCGGGTGCAGGGTCCCAAGGTTTTGGGTCCTTAACTGCTTTCTCAGGCCACAAGCAGGGGGTTGGATGGGAAGCAGGGCTGCCAGGATTAGAACCGGCACCCTTATGGGATCCTGGCATTTACAAGATGAAGACATTAGCCACTAGAATACTGCACCAGGCCCAAGACCCTGAACTTTGAAGGTTCTCTTTCAGGGGAACGCAGAGGAAGGACAGAAAGTAATGGAAAACAGTAAGTATGTG